AGTTCCGGTTGTAGAGGCTATCAAGGCAAAGTATTGATCTTTCTCTTTGATCTGGGGAAAGTTAGAGGGCATGAAAAAAGATCTATCATAAGCTCATTTTTTTGGAAACTCCCAGGCAGAACTCATGCCAAGTTTTGGTGGTACAGTATGATGTTCCACACCAAAAATAAGGAAAGACTCCAAGAATTTGGTAATTCTTGATGAGCCGGCGCTTCACAACTTGGTGAGAAGCCAAGATCACTTTCAAGATCCCCCCATCCAGTTTTTCAAAAGTATTCTTTTGGGATGACCCATTGAACATCAAAGGAGCTCTGTGAGCTGATGTATCTCTACATGTAGATCTAATTGCTCTATATAAAGCTGATCTTGAGAAGCTCTGAATGAGAGGATCTCAAAGGAAATCTTGGCTTATCACCAAGTGATCAAGAACTGCTGGCTCACATAGAGTTTCAGGATTCTGTGGGCCTTTCCTTATCTTTGGTGCTGTGCAATCGTTTCAATAATCAGTAAGATGATTTATTCTAAATTTTTTCATTTCTGTTTACATTTCCTTCACCAGATGATGAAGACTTTGAAACAGTTTCAACTTCTATTCTCAAACCACGCTTGAAGCATTGCGGATTCGTGGTGGCTTATGGTCAAGATGTTGGAGAAGCTTTACGACTCTGGGTTGGAAATGAAGGAAAGCCTGAGATCAAGACTGAAGTAGTAGATGAATGCCATGCAAACGATATTTCTTACTCTTCTGAATATGGCGAATCATCTGTTGGGTACTCTATGTGGCGAAATACTTGGTAGATATGTTATGTGATTTGTGTTATGTTTATTGGAATTAGGAATTGGAATATATCTTTGTTTAATTGTATTAAGATTATGGGGAGTATTATGAGGGTGAACCACCCCTTGCCTTCAAAGCGCCTTTGTTTGATTTTGATCACTCGTGAGGTCTGTCTTCAATTCATGGGCTTACCGACAACCATGACCATATTTGCCCTATTTGAGATCTTCTGCCCATTACATTGAGGTGAATATCAAACTCCTTTTGATAATCTTTTTAGATGAGTGTTTTGCTACAATGTTTCCAAGAGTGGTACATATTGCTTTTGTGAAAATTTGGGACTCTGTCCCCTTTGAAGAGCGTGTCATGAAGGAAGACAACTGCTGGTCTTCCAGGTTCTGAGTACAAGTATCCAAGCTCAACCATATCAGAAGGCATGTTTTTTCAGTCATCATGATACTCAATGACACTCAGTTATGTTTCTTGGATTTTTTTGCAATACAACAGCTTATCTCCAAGTATCCATGTCTGGTAGAAAGTTGGGTCCCTGAGATCATTGAGTGCTATCTTTCACACAAGGATTTGTCTTCAGACTAGCACAAAGACTCAAAGGGAATCCAAACCCAAAGATTCTCCATGATGTGAAGTATGATTCAACTGTCAGATGGAACTTGGGATGCAGAAAAGCGATGAGGTGTAAATTTTGGGTCAAAAAAGGCATAAACTCCCAATACCCTCAAATATTAGCCACACTGACATTCAAGTCTTTGGTCGTTTGAAGCGAATGATTCGTCCGCTTGTACTGATCGCCCAATTCTTATCAGCGCTCATTTTTCATGCTACCTATACATATATATATCTCACCATATTTGAGGCAGAACGTCTGTAACCAAACGTCGATGTGCCATCTCGTGGCGCGAAGAGCGGATGTTTCGCATTGTACTTTCAATCGCTTGCCAGAAAGCCAACGATTACCCGAGTCCAAAGCATGACGTCTCATTGCCAAAGCGATATGGCTGGCGTTTTACCTGACTAGAGCTGGGGCAACACACCCACTGCCTTCAGAGTAAAAACAGTTTTCGTGCTTCCCGGAGACCAATCGTCAGGCGACTTAACTTTTCTACATACAATTTTCTCCTGAATTGTATATTTTGCGCTCTAGTCGCATGCATGTTGGATGATGCGTTCAGTCACACTACCGAAGGATAGAAACAATGCTTCGAGCTTGGATTGGAAGGAGCGAGCACACGCATTCTCCTTGGGCGCGATCAAAGTGACGACGTCCCAAGATCGGCGTGATCGACTCAAAACTGTTGATCCATCATGTACTTGTGATCATATGTTGCAGAGAGAATAGTGCGTCTCTCAAGCATGACCTTGCACGCCGAATATCTTTATGGAGATGCTATTAAAAAATGTCTCTCTACCATTGCACCCTTCGGAAGAGGCTCAGAGGCATAAAAACATTTGTACAGGCTTTAGGTATCTGATATCAGAAGTACGGAGCATCTAGCCACTTGGTATCAGGAAGATCTAGAGTAATTCAAAGGACATCCAATTCCCAATCGCTGACTAATGCGAGATGGACTCACACTAGAGTATAGATTGTCATCTTGTGTGTCTAAAGGTCGAAAAATTAAGGTCGAAAAATGACGTGTGATCCGTCTTTTAAAGCATCAAAACGGATTTTGGATTGGCAAGAGCTTTCATCTAAAGTTTGTTTAGGAACCTTTTTGACCCCAGACCAAAATAAGACTCAAGACTGAGTTTATTTAATGGAAATTCTAAAAACGTCGTGCCGTGAGAGCTGCCTGCGAAACGTTTGATAGCCAAGGGTTTGGGATCCGTGGACTGCTAATCAATCATGGTCAAAGTCTCAATTGATTGACGCAATTTTAGGATCATCAAACCAGGATACAAGACTGGAGGCATGTAGCTCCTGTCGAGAAGAGGATTCTGGTGTTCGAAAATATAGCAAACATTTCTTGATTGTTTTTGTTTTCTCATTTTGAGTATAATGAAGGTAAACAGATATAGTCAAAGTATTTTAGGTGATGAAGTGATTGGTACCCGAATTGTGGGCAAGCTAAAGAGCTGAAAGCCACGCTTACCAAACATTCAATAGGCATATATTGAAGCTACGAATCCTTGATGCTCAACAATTCAAGGGATAGGAATTATGGGTTGTATTTTCGGGATCATTCAGTAGAATTGTAAGGGTGAGGGGCACATGCTTTATTTTCACAAATTAAGTTAAGGCTGGAAATTGGTAAAGTCGCCATCACAATCATTTTTGTACAGATTCTACTTCATTATTACAAGTACAACGGATAAAATAATGTACTTGCATTATTTTTTAATGTTAATGCTGGATAACAATAAGAAATGCGACAGAGCTGATCCTGATGCTGATCGTCCAAGGCATTATTTAGCTCTTATCGATTGTATCTGTTACTCAGAGACCTTTCCACAACTCACCACTTCGATTCCCACCACCAAATTCCGTTCCTTCTGTCTCCCTTCAGACCTTCCCATCCACAACCCTTTGATTGATCATTATCAAGATGCGGCCTCCTGCCCTCAATCTCAAGAATTGTAGAATCAAAAAGGTTTTCACTAACAATCTCAATGACGCCGATGCAGTGAGTTCTTCTTTCTTTTCATTCACTTCCTGAACCTCTTTCATCCTTTCATCCTTTCCAGTCTCACTTTCTCACTATTATTCTTCTGCTTCTCCAGAGCTATGCCTCAGGCAGCGAGCAAAGCTCTTTGGAGTTGGAATTCGGTGGTCTCTCCCCAGCTAGACTGGCAATGTTCAACCTTGAGGACCCTCTACCATCACCGATTTTGGAGCGCCCCCTGCGCATCAGAAGCCCTATCAGAAATGCTTTCTCTGAAGGATCTGCCTTCCTTCCTATGGTGAGTATTGTAGATGTATCCACTTATCATTTTCAATCTTCTATTCACTCACTGACTTATCTCTCTCCACTTTGCGTTTCCTCTTCTCTTTCTTCTTGGTACTCTGATTCATTCAAGACTCCCAACTCCTCTCGTATTGAATCACAAGCTGCTTCTCTCCACTCTGGACCACCATTGGTTATGAACCCCGACGGCAGTGTCCAATCTCCTCATCGAAAACCCGACCTAATCATCAAAGGCGGTATCAAGAGAGTTTGCATCACGGAACTTGCTTTAATAGACTTGGTGAGTGTTTCTAAATCGTGTTTATTTTTCTTCTTGATTCCCTGGCGCTCATCAGTTTCCAATATGTTTTCCTACTTTGCATTATAGTACTTTGTCTTACCCCCATTTGAGCCCCTCAAGCGAGTACTCTACACTATTCCTGAGGAGCCTGAGGAAGAAGAAATGGTTGAGTCTAAAGGAAAAGGGAAGGCCTTGGCCAAAGGTATGTTATTTTGTTACTTTTTCATTCTGAAAATTCTTTCCATCATTTCAACAATCAGTAAGATTCTTTATTCTAATTTTTTTCCATTTCTGTTCACATTTCCTTCACCAGATGATAAAGACTTTGAAACAGTTTCAACTTCTATTTTCAAACCACGCTTGAAGCATCGCGGATTTGTGGTGGCTGATGGTCAAGATGTTGGAGAAGCTTTGCGACTCTGGGTAGGAAATGATGAAAAGCCTGAGATCAAGACTGAAGTAGTAGATGAATCACATGCAAACGATATTTCTCACTCTTCTGAATATGGCGAATCATCTGTTGGATCCTCTATGTGGCGAAATACTTGGTAGATATGTTATGTGATGTGTGTCATGGTTATTAGGATTAGGAAATGGAATACATATTTTTATAATCGTATCATATTTTTCTATTTTATATCATGATGATCAACGTGACCTTGTCTTCAAAGTGCCATTTTTTCATCCTTTTGAGGTCCTTGGTGAAGTCACGGTCTTCCGCCGTAATTACCTTTTGAGATTAGATCCCTTATTTGATGTTGTTGTCCTATTCAACAAAGATAGTGATCATAGCCTTTGATCTATTGTTCAAGAGACGCTGTTTTGACATGTATGATAAGTGTGAGCTTTGCACAGTTGGTCAGCTAAGAAGTTTTCCTGCTAAATTGCACCCCTCACCTCAGACTTTTTCAAGAATACCACCTTCTGTGCTTCCTTTAGCTAAGCCCTTTACTTCGGCTCTGTTCAAAGTTGTGTATACTTCACTTCTTCGACATCCTAGCGCTCCTGGAGATATGTGTATCTCCAAGTGCGAGTGATTCTAAAGATGTTGACTAAGTAAGCTCGAGAATTGATCCCAAAGCGGCTCACTCTGATTAACCGCCCTGCCTTCAATCACTGATGTGGTTGTGCGCTATGAGCAAAGTGACTCGCCTTCATGCATTGATCAGATGACTTGGTAAGTATGCTGGGTTTGGTAATGACATGCCCCTCAATGCATTCTGTCAAAAGTCAAGGCTGTTGTTCTTCAAGAGAAGAGTGGTCACAGGAACATATACGAATTTTTCTTCCTCAGATTGTATGGTTTAGAGAGCCCCCAGTGCTTGGGCAATACGAGTGACATCACAGTTTGGAGATATGTCACTCTCATTATGTAGTCTGCTTCAAGATGGACTGCGAGTGTACCTTGAAAAGCAAACTGGCTTCTTCCATCACTTGCAACCTAGGCGGTATCTTCCAACAATGCTGGTTGGTGGTTTCAAAAGCTTCGAATACATTAGCTTCTGTGCCATTTAGCGCATGCTCAAGTCTTGGATGGTAGTGTATGTAGGTGGTTGGATGATGGATCCACTGGACCCCTCTTGATGATTCGATTCCCTTGGAAGGGGTCAATCTAGGTTTGCCCGGGAGCTTCCGCTAAACTCGCTGTTTGAGGTTTCGATCCATGATTATGGGATCATCCAGAATACCATCACAATCAACATCCGAAACCGAGCAAACACCATCAACCTGTTCGAACACTGCAATAGAAGTACATAAGGACATTTCGAAAATATTGCAAGAACCACTGGGCCTATTGAACCAATTGGAAGACTTATTGATATCGAATCCTAAACTACTTCAATCATTAATACGAGAACTCGAATACCGATCAGAGGAAACATCTATCGTGAATTTCTTCGTGAGTTTATCTATCATCACTCAATGCTTTGTTCTCTAACACGTTATTGACTGCTCTTTGAAAACCTCCAATTCTTGATTCCTAGGATCAACTTTCACTCGATCTACCTAATAAACTAATTCATTTAGTTTATAGTAGGAATACACCAAACCCTACAGAAGATGGTGTAAACGATCATTAGTACAAATTCCAGCAAGTGAAACTGTTTGGTGCTCCATCTGTCACCAAAATCCAAGATGAGCATATCTCAACTTTCCACAAGATGCGGAACTCGCAGAGTGCCGTTTGGCTGACACTCCAACCTTGGAGAAATCTATCAAAAAGGTTGGATTTTCTTTGAGATGGGAACAAGATGCAGTGACACAATCAGACTTTTGGGCCTTCAATTTTGGAAGAAGACTGTTTCAATGATTTTCATAGCAAAGAGAGTGTATAGAATGGCTTTTCAAACCAGTTTAATCTGCAGGAAAAATTTTCACCCTGATCGTGACCACCCTGGCAGGATGGGAATTAATGATTATGGAGATAGCATTGATTCTGTTAGCTGACTCAAAGCCATTAGAGGATTATTCAATGGACTTTCTCTGGTGTCTATCAAGTCTCCCTCATTGGATCATATAGCTGAAATTGCACTCGGACACTGTGTCTCTTGAGGACTCCAAAGGAGAACTGACAATCAATTGAGATCATGGAAACTTCTCCTCAAGATCCAACGCCCTTTTTCTTCTTTACTCATGAAGAAAATTTCTCCTCCAACATAGAATACTAGCCCGGACTCCGTAGTGTAAACTCTTGCGAAGTGATTGGATATGACTCAAGTATCACAAGGAGTATTACTCGACATTGTTTGCATTACAAGATCGTCGAGCTGGACAAAAGCCAGTTAATTTCTTTCACTTCAAAGAGGTAACAAATCCAACTTTTACTGGCTACAAATCTAACGGATACAAAGTTACTATACTAAAGGGTTTACAAAAGCTTTGAATCAAAAAGAATTCCAAATTCACCACATCGCTCTCTCGAAGTTCACTGAAAGAGGTCCAAATAAAATGAGGGGAAAGGTGTTCATTAATATTTGAGAAGTCTTTGTGAATACTGCCAATAATCGAGTTATGAAATGTGACTCACCCACTGATATCGCATTAGCTTATCACTCGGTATGTTTCCCGGACCCCATTTTGTTAAGCTCCTTTAGGTCTATGGTCACGGCAGATTGCCTCTGCCTCTTATGTTGCCTAGGTGCTTCGGGTGCGCGAGCTCGAACAAACTTGGGCTTTCGGTAGTACGGAGTCACAGAAGGTTTCTTCTCTCGCGTGGGTATACGAGATACAAGAGAAGTTTTTTGGATTTCCATCTCTTTGAGTTTTTCAGAAAGACGATCTTCTGGTTTTTTCGAAGACCTTGGGGTATTGACGACAGCGTTCTTCTCGGTTGTAAATCTAACCAAATCTAAAACACCTGGGCCTAGATGATTTGTAAAAGAAGGAGATTTAAGGTGAGTATCAAAATTGTAAAGTTGATGTTGGATGATTATGATTACCTATAAAGGGATGAGAACTTATGCGGTCCTCTGTGCCATCGGTACGTTGGAAGGCGGTCGATTGGGCGAGGATGTTAGATGAAGCCATTGTTCAGAAGAGTAAATTTGCTGGAGGTATTGGTGGTGGGTGTTTGTTTTTGAGAATTGGTATGGAGGTGGATTGGTTTCAGATGAAGAGGATGAATGTGTTTTGGAGAAGGAAAGTCAAAAGATCCACCATCTTATACCATACCAAGGCTTTGTGGGTGCCTGAATTCCACATTTTAGAAAGTCGTGCGATCAAATCGTTCGCCGTCGTAATTATGAATCACGAAGTACGCGACGATAATTATCATCGGCATAAGATCTGACCAACCAGAATCCGGGAATCCTGTAAACGTGGCTGTGATGATCACGTCCTGCGATGGCGCGACTTTCAGGGTTCAAACTGTTGGGCAAAATGTTGAGTATTTTGGTTCGGAAGCATGATAAAGGAATTTCTTGAATCAAACCGCACGCTTTTCTACCCTGCAGACATCAAAGAACAAAGTATGTATGAGAGGTACGGCGAATGAGTACCAATTTAAAGATACCGAGATCACGGTGAAAGAATGCTCGAGTCAAAAATGACACCAATCTTTTTGTCTCTTGAGAGGGGAAATTGGATTCATAACAAGGCCGATCCTTCACACAATCAGATTTTGAGTCCGTCAATCTCAACTAGACAAGAATGTGTGACTGGTTTAATGGCAATGAAGGTATATAGCAAGGTTTTTCAAAAAAGTTTCATTTGCAAGAAAGAATGTCACCCTGATTGTGACTCTTACGCGCGTTTCTGGGTATGATTCCTGGGCGGGAAGGGATGTATGGAGATGAAATTGATTCTGTTGGTTGACTTAGAGCCACTTAAAGATCATTCAACAGATAAGCTCTGGTTTCTATCAGGTCTCCCTCACTGGATCATAAAGCTGGAATTGCACTCGGACACTGTGTCTCTTGAGGACTCCAAAGGAGAACTGACAATCATTTGAAATCATGGAAACTTTTCCTCAAAATCCAACACCCTTTTTCTTCTTTACTCATGAAGAAAATTTTGCCTCCAACATAGAAAACTAGCCCGGACTCCGTAGTGTAAACTCTTGCGAAGTGATTGGATATGACTCAAGTATCACAAGGAGTATTACTCGACATTGTTTGCATTACAAGATCATCGAGCTGGACAAAAGCCAGTTAATTTCTTTCACTTCAAAGAGGTAACAAATCCAACTTTTACTGGCTACAAATCTAACGGATACAAAAATACTACACTACAGGGTTTACAAAAGTTTCGAATCAAAAAGAATTCCAAATTCACCACATCGCTCTCTCGGTGTTCACTGATAGAAATCCAAAAAAATGAGGCAAAAGGTGCTCATTAACATTTGACTAGTCTTTGTGAATACTGCCAATAATCGAGTTATGAAATGTGACTCACCCACTGATATCATAGTAGCTTATCACTCGGTAGATTTCTCCAATTTGTTGAGCTCCTTTAGGTCTATGGTCACGGCAGATTGCCTCTGCCTCTTATGTTGCCTAGGTGCTTCGGGTGCGCGAGCTCGAACAAACTTGGGCTTTCGGTAGTACGGAGTCACCGAAGGTTTCTTCTCTCGAGTCGGTATACGAGATACAAGAGAAGTTTTTTGGATTTCCATCTCTTTGAGTTTCTCAGAAAGTTGATCTTCTGGTTTTTTCGAAGATCTTGGAGTATTGACGACAGCGTTCTTCTCGGTTGTAAATCTAACCAAATCTAAAACACCAGGGCCTAGATGATTTGCAAAAGAAGGAGATTCAAGGTGAGTATTCATATGGTAAAGTCGATGTTGGATGATTATAATTACCTATAAAGGGATGAGAACTTATGCGGTCCTCTGTGCCATCGGTACGTTGGAAGGCGGTTGATTGGGCGAGGATGTTGGATGAAGCCATTATTCAGGAAAGTAAAGTTCTTGGAGTTATTGGTGGTGGGCGTTTGTTTTGGAGAATTGGTATGGAGGTGGGTTGTTTCAATGCAAGAGGATGAATATGTTTTGACGAAGGAAAGTCAAAAGAGCCACTATCTTATACCAAGGCTTTGTGGGTGCCTGAATTCCACATTTTAGAAAGTCATGCGATCAAAGCGTTCACCGTCGTAATTATGAATCACGAACCACGCGACGATAATTATCATCGCAATAAACTCTGACCAATCATAATGCGGGAATCCTGTAAGGCTGTGATGATCACGTCCTGCGATGGCGCGATCTTGAGGGTTCAAACCGTTGGGCAAGAATCAAGATGTTGAGTATTTCGGTTCGGAATCATGATAAAGGAATTTCTTGAATTAAACCGCAAGCTTTTCTACCCTGCAGACATCAAAGAACAAAGTATGAGAGGTACGGCGAATGAGTACCAATTTAAAGATACCGATATCGCGGTGAAAGAATGTCCGAGTTCAAAATGACACCCACCTTTTTGTCTCTTGAGAACAGAAATTGGATTCATAACAAGGCCGGTGCTTTACGCAATCAGATTTTGAGTCCGTCAATCTCAACTAGACAAGAATGTGTGACTGGTTTAATGGCAATGAAGGTATATAGCAAGGTTTTTCAAAAAAGTTTCATTTGCAAGAAAGAATGTCACCCTGTTTGTGACGCTTACGCGGGTTTCTGGGTATAATTCCTGGGCGGGAAGGGATGTATGGAGATGAAATTGATACTGTTGGTTGACTTAGAGCCACTGAAAGATCATTCAACGGATAAGCTCTGGTGGCTATCAGGACTCCCTCATCGGATCATGCAGCTTAATCGCACTCGGACACTGCGTATCTTCAGGACTCGAGAGATGACTAACAATCATTTTGACATCATGGAAACTTCTCCTCAAGATACGATACCCTTTTTCCTCTTTGCTCATGAAGAAAGTCTGACTTCCAATACATAATCATAGTCTCTAGCATAGATTCTTTCGACGTGATTGAATATGAACTGATACGGCGCAAGTAACGCAAGTAGTATCACTTGAAATGATTTACATTATAAAGTCAGTGAGCTGGACAAAAGCCAGTAGATATCTTTCACTTCAAAAAGGTAACATACTCAACTGTTACTGGGTACAAATCTTACGAACACAAAATGACTACACTTCAAGGTTTACAAAAGGTTTGATTCAAAACGAAATCACAATCCATCACATCGTTTCCTCGAAGTCCACTGATAGAAATGGAAATAAAAGAAGGAAAGAGATGCTTAGTCAAAATTTAAGAAGTTGTTGTGGATCCTATATACCAACAGTTAGATGACCTATTTGACTCACACACTAATACCGAATTGGCTTATCACTCGGTAGACTTCCCCAATTTATTAAGCTCCTTTAGGTCAACGATCACGGCGGATTGCCTCTGCCTCTTATGTTGCCTAGGTGGTTCAGGTGTGCGAGCTGGAGGGAATTTGGGCTTTCGGTAATATGGTGTCACAGAAGCTTTCTTCTGTCGAGTTGGTACACGAGAAACAAGAGAATGTTTTTGGATTTGCATGTCTTCTAGCTTTTCGGAAAGACGATCTTGTGGGCTTTTCGACGTTTTTGAAGTATCATTGACCGTAGTATTCTCGGCTGTAAACCTAACCAGATCAAAAGCACCGGGACCTAGATCGTTTTGGAAAAAGAATGAAATATAGCGGTGGTCATGATATGAAGGAAATAAGCAGTTAGCACGTGAACGTAAATGTTTAATGTTTGTCAATTATAATTACCTATGAAGGGATTTTGGCTGTTGAGGTCCTCTGGGACATCGCTGCGTTGTGAAGTAACCGACTTATTGAGGACGCTGGTTGTAGACATTTTTACGATGATAAAATTTTGGAGTGGGTGGTGGTTTAAATGTTTGTTTTTAAAAGTTGTTATGGAAGTGGATTGGTTGGAGATAAGAATTCTTGATGAGGAAGTTCGAAATCTCCTCTAATTTATATCAAAGCTTTGTGGGTGCCTGAATTCCACATTTTACAAAATCAAGCGATCAAAGCGTTCACCGTCTCATATAAAATCAACAATTATATAACACGCGACGATATTTAACATCACGCGAAAATCTGGCCAATCAGAAGTCAGCATTTTCCAAAGATGGCTGTGATCATCACGTCCTGTGATGCTGCGATTTTGGGGGTTCAAGCCGCTGAGAAAGATGTTGAGTAGCTTAGTTTGGAGCCATGACGTATCAGCATCTCGATCCGAATAGCAAGCTTTGCGAACTTGGACACACCGCAAAATATATTGTGAGAACTGAAGCTAATCAGCATCAAATGAAAAACACAAAGAGAACGGTGAAAGAAGAAATGATTGATCCTAGTGTCCTTGGAAGCTTTGGAACACTAGGCTTGGCTTCACTCTTTGGATATTGAGAGTGGACAACAAAGTGGTCATCAAGCTTATCAGGTAAGATAACGGGAAATCATAACACCAACACGTCAGATTGGTGAAATGAGAGCAATTTTAGCTTGTTGGCAATTTTATTCTTGACACGCACAAGTGAATATCGATTTCGTCAAACAAAACAAATCATTGCAATCAACATTATGTGCGTTAGAACATCTGTTATGATGTGCAATGAGTTTAACCTCATGTGCACAATGAAGAGTTCAAGAGATGCTGCCAATCATGCAGGAATTGATCAAGCATACAACTTGGTTCCTCTATGGCCACACAATCCCTCGCATGGGGTTCTGACTCATAGCACAACTTCCAATGAAGGTTGGGAAAAGCTCTCACCAGAAATGGATTTTGGGACCTCTCATCAAGTCGCATCAAACGATGTGTGGGAAGAACCACATCTCTCAAGGTAAATTTTTGTTTAGTGTCAATTCTTTCACGAATCTTCTGGCGCAGTCGGCAAGTAAACATAGATCTAAACTATTAAATCGTAATAAGATGCCCGATTTGGGGTTGAAACATCCGAGCTTCCTACACGTAACAAAAACCCATCCCACCTCCCTAAAATTGACCCACTTAAAGAGCCTATGAGTATATAAGATGTGGTGTGATCGTAAGTGATGGTGAGCGATCAAGTCAGATTGACAAGTGTGATTTATTTTCCGTTTCTTCGAGGGGGATAGGGTGGTTCATACCATTGAAGACTAGGTTCTGTAGGAATTGGTGGAATCTTAAGCAAAGTCTTATTCGATTTCGGAGGAAAATCGGATAACGGTGGTGTCTTTCGTTTTCCGGAAGCAGAAGACACCGACGGAGTTGTTGGGCACATCGGCGAAGTTGGCATGTTAAGAAATATTACATCTTCTTCAAGACGTTTCAAAACATATTCGACATCATGAGTATCGTTCAAGTCTTGAGAGATCAGTTGTACACGATAATCGAACGGTCCACGAAGCTTAGCTAAGATCATCACGATTAATAATTTTGTTGAGATCTCGAGTTGAGCTTTAGAAAATTCATTAATTGACGTTCTTATCTCATTACAAAAGGTAGCAAGATTAGTGTTGAACTTGTATTGGATGTTTTCAAACTTTTTGTATAAAGTTGTATGATTGATTATACCATGGACTGAATATCTTCCTTCAAGGTATTTCCATAAACTAGATCCTGTTTTGGGTTGATTGATAGTGTGAGCGTTTGCGACCAATGAAGATTGTTGGTCTAGATGGCCAATTATAACGTCATAAGCTTTTCTCTCTAGTACTGTAAACCAGTTTAAATCTTCAGCTGAGAAATCTTCAGTCATCGAAGGAGGCCTTAAAGTTATTTCCAACAGTTGAAGTCTTTTAAGTTTGTCCTCCATCTTGGGTTTCCAAGACCCGTAATTGGTATCGGTCAAGAGTATTTGTTCGTTCGGCATGGTTCGTATGTCCAACAGGCTTTCAAAGTAAGACACCGATGATGAGTAAATATATCGACGATGGATTAATTTGATAAAGAGTAAAATTTGAAACGAACCTGGTAAAAGGAAAGGTACATCGACTGATATACCCAGTTCGCGTGGTTCATAAAATCCTTTCTTTGTAGTATCGAACACAAGCAGTATGCTCAGTGAACCAAATGAGTCGCTGAGTGGAAAATCCCTAAGCTTAACTAAGCCCCACTTCTTGTAAGGGCTCTTTCACCTTTCTTCTCAGCTCTCATCACTTCATCCCTTTCTGGACTCAGCTCTTCAAGAACCTGGAATGCGCCCTTATCTGACGAAAACCGTTTTCGGGTTTTTGACCCCAGTCCTCGCCTGGAGGTATCACAAGCCCTTCAAACGACGCGCATCGTCTCAGGCTGCCCCACGAGACTTGTCGTAGCTTCGATGCTTGGTTCATCGCGGCGTAAAACACAAAGGCATGAAAACCTATCCTCAAGACCATATTTCAGGTGTTACACTGGATTATCTCAGGAATCAGCGGCGCTAAAGGGTTGGAAATCAGACCATCCAACCACCTTTAACCAGGCGCATCATTTGCGCTCATGTACTTGTCAAAAACATGCTTCTGTGACCCAGAAACATAACAAAAATCTCAAGATTTTTGTCAGGCGCATTCATAAGCGCATTCCAGGGTTCTGCAATGAAGTTACTCAGACTCGACATTCTGTGATTCAGACTAAAATATTTGTAAAGGTTTGACAATCATGTGGTGGGCGCGGCGCGTTTGGCGTGTCAAAAGGCGCGCCCATACGCAAGACTTGGATAATCTGAAGCATAGAAGGTCCTCTTGGGCCTAATCTTGGGCTAGAGGAAGCCTATCACATTTTCATTTTGGTTTGTGTAACTTTTGGGCCAGAGAAATATCTACAGATGAGCCCCACTTGTGATATTTTTGGTATTGATTGCTCATCCGAGTTGTGGGATCCTTAAGATAGTTCTTGAACAAAAATGTTCTGTGATTGTTATCTCAAAAGTGTGGTTATCCTGACTTGAAACACCTTTTCTCATGTCCCCATTTGTGTTTGAGCTTCATCACAGCCTTGATTTCGGTTTTTGAGAAGTTTTTTCATGTTTTTTTGCTCAAGAGGCGCACCCACATGTGCCCTGCTATTTGGACACATTTCAGACACAGGATTCTGCGCCTGGGTGTGGCTCTCTGGCGAATCTGTGCCCAATACCTGATTTGACAAAGCATCAGCAGGTGTAGACAAGACCCAGCTGAGTAAATCAATAAGTACAAGTACTAAACTTGACTAACATGAATGGCCAGGGGAGGATTCCAGATAACTAATTTTAGAGTCTTTTTCCTTGATGGTAATCAATAAAACACACACAGCATACAACACACCTTTGTAAGGGTTTAAAAAACTATCAGCAGGTGTTGACAAGACACAGCTGAGTAAGACAATAAGTACATGTAATAAACTTGACAAACTTCAATGGTCAGGGGAGATTTATAGAGAACTAACTATGTAGAGAAAAAGGTGCTGAGAGGAGAAAGTAATAGTAATAAAAATGATAACATGTAAGATTGATTTGGTGAAGCTCTCAAACCTGACCCGGTTTCAAAAAAGCCAGTTGACCCAGTGGTATTTTTTGGCTACAAGCTGTCAACAAATGTCAACTTGATACACAAAGTTACTACCAAAAAGTCATCTGGGTTAACTGGGTTTTTGAAACCCGGGTCATGAGGTTTGTACCAAAGCCAAGACGTGAGATCTCCTCCACATTTTTTGAATCTTGAGTTTTTGCAATTTTGATTTTTGACCTTGTTTTTTATTCCAACCTTGCACCAGAACTCACCAGAACGCACAACACATCATGACGGAAGCCCTGATTGTCCACCACTCTTTAAAATCACAACATTAAACACAAGACTATGTACACAAGCTCACAGTGGGATGTGGCCATTGACCTCTATTGAACCTCTCTGATTGGCAATTGCTCTCACACACCAGACCTCAACTCAGCTCTGGTTGTCAAAGTGCACTTACCAGAAATGATGAGTACAAGAATTGGTATAGATTGATTCAATTGTTTTGAAATCGTATCTCACTTAACAAAATACCCCTTGGACAAACAAGTACATAGTCAAGAGAGAAAGACACTTGAGGCACATTCACTTAAGGAATTTCTGACCAGAAATCACATTATGCAAAATTTAATCTATTTGGTAGTGCATGTTTCATTTTTGCAATCAAAAATGGATCCCGGTATCCCCACCACCCCCTCCCTTTCACAGCTAGTCAAAGCCTTACTTACCAGTGACACAAGCTGTGACATTAATGCAGTCCAGGCTTTGCCTCTAGCTGTCCTTGAGATTAGCCACAACATGAGTGAGAAAATGCAAATTGAGTTTCCAATCAAACATTTCTGTACTTGCTCCTCTCTCCACATCAACTCCACTTTGACCAAACTCAAACCAGCTCAAACCTTATCACCATTCAAATTCAACACACCACTTTGTGAATGAACATAGACAAGCTCCTGCTCTCATATTCATCCCTACAGCAAGCTGAGGATGCACAACAAAACTGCACCAAACCATTTGGCTACTAGCTGAAAATCACCCAAACCTTTTACAATAAACACAAGAGAGCCAAGAAATGTGTCTTTGCCTGTGCTCATGCTGGAGCTCCTCAGCTGGTTGAGAGTGTGGTCTGTTCTACATTCAGTCAGCAGCTGGGTTGTAAATGGTCTGCTACAGTCCGACTCAAGCAATTCACTCACCAATGATCAGCACAACAACCATGAGCCTTCCAAAACTCTTGCTGAGATACCAGCTGCACAGAAGCTTATGCCGGAACAGCTGACCACTGTTCTTAACATGGCCAATGCAGGTGTTCCTATGTGACTCATTCTATGTACCCTGAAGGCTTTTGACCCAAGTAACTTTTCTACAATCCAAGATATCTACAATGTGATCATCAAGAAACAAAGACTTATCAATCTCAATGGACGCACACCACTCAAAGCATTGATTGACAATCTCAAGAAAAATGATGTTTTCCATACTTTTGACCTGGACTCTCATAAAATAGACTTCTGTGCTTTGTTGTTGCACCCAAAGCTAGTATAAATTCAGCTTCAGAGTTCTGGACATCTAATGTGCTGCTGATGGATTCTACATACAAAACTAATTGGTGAGGCCTGTTTAATGAACTCAACTACACTCAACACTCAAGCTGACTACGGTCTCTCTCTCATTTAGGTTTCATATACCACTTGAACTTCTGCATATTATAGGAGTATCACCAACTCATCAGTCCATCTCCTTATGCTTTGGTCTAATTCAACAAGAAGCTGAGGAAGACTATCACTGGATTCTGGAGCAAATGAAGTTGTGATTTGGGCTAAAGCTTGAAAAAGGACAGGCAGCTTCAGTATATTTTACTCTATTTGTGTTAGTAAAGATGGTTTTGATCTTTAGTCTTTATGGTCACTTCTTATTCCTGTGCTTAAAGTTTTACCTCAGAATCAAAGTTTTTGTTGTAGCACATTTAGTTGCTGCAAGATCAAATTTATATCTAGTAATATGACAAACTGAACAAAAGTATTTGAAAGAGTGTGAGGCAAAGGCTACGACATCCCATGAATGAGCCAGAACCAAATGACTGAGGGCGCGTTCACTTAAGCAAATTCTGGTGAGAAATCACATTCTGCAAAATTTAAAATGTCTATTTGGTGGGGCATGTTACATTTTTGCATTAAAAAATTTACAGAATGTGATTTCTGGTCCGGAATTCCTTAAGTGAACGCACCCTAAGTGAATGCGCCCTAAATGAATGCTCTGACCCTTGATAGTTGAACCAAAATCAATATATTCCCAAAAACTCTTTCATCTCTACACCCAAAAGCTTAAAGAAACACTTCATTTCAACCTTAAAAAGAATTTGAGTGACCTAGAATGATTCTGTAAAGGTAGATAGTCTCTCTTTTGTAATGAATTGAAGCAGACAGCAAGTTGATGATCAATCAGGTACTGAGTGAATCTATGAATCAATTACGGTTCAAGTGCAATTCAAAGACAATTTTTCTGAAGTTGAGGAACCCACAAATCAAATCAGATCAACACATACTTGCAAGTGCATGTATTGCCTTGGACAACATTCATAATGTAATTGCAAGTCAGTAATCTTCATGCCCATCCCTGTGTGGCAGCTCATGGACACCAATCACCTAGTTCTTTAATCCAAGTCCCAAACCAACATCAAAAAAGAAACCAAAATAAAACCTTGCCCTTTCCAAACCCCCAAAAAGAATTTCATCACACTTCAAACCAACCCCAAAAGAAATCCTTATTCATAGACACTCTTGACATTCCTTGCTGTAAATGTTCACCCATCATTAAACTCATCTTCTTCAATGACATTTCACTTCACTTCAAAGACTTGTAATCTGAAAATCAAAAACATGCATGCTCTCTTTTTCACTTTTTTTTGTCCTCTTCATTTCTTCTCTAAATCAAACAAAGAACACACAAAAAGGAAAAAATATAACAAAACAAAATAAACTCCAAAAATAAACTTGCAAAAAAAACCTTTTTCATCTCTTTTCTTCTCCTCCTCACCCCCCAAAGTATTTCCCCATCAATTCTACAAAAAAGAAACCCCAAAAAATCAATCATCATTCAATTCTCAAACAAAAAAATATTTCCAAAAAAACAGAAACTTACATAATTCTGATACAAAGCAGTCGAAGAAAATTTACTACCCTGTCTAATCACCTTCTCAACAGATTCCAAGAAATCCTTCTCATTCGCCACTTTCCTTCTAGCTCGAATCGCAAACATACCCGCCTCAGTACAAACCGATCTTAATTCGGCCCCTGTAGCATTCGGACATAACCGTGCAATCAATTCGTATCGAATGTTTCGTTCGACTGACATGGATCTTGCATGGATCTTTAAGATGTTTGCTCGACCTTCTGTGTCTGGTAAGGAAAATTCTACTCTTCTGTCTAGTCTTCCGGGTCGTAGGAGTGCTGGATCTAATGTATCTGGTCTGTTTGTTTAAAACAAAATCAAGGTAAGTTGAGGTTTCGATTTAGATGTTCTAGAAGTAAAACTTCACTAACCGATTAGTTGCCATAATCTTGAAAAAAATGGAAACCGTAATTTAAAGAACCCAAACAAAACCAATCATCAACAATCAAGTTGAGATTCAACAGTAAGTCAACCAAAACCAAAGACTCAACGACTTTAATATTCCCTCTAGGATCGAATCCATCCAATTGATTAATCAACTCCAACATAGTTCTCTGAACTTCATTATCACCTCCTTGACCATCATCATGTCTCGCTCCACCAATGGCATCAATCTCATCAAAAAAGATAATACAAGCCTTTTTGGTTCGTGCCATCTCAAATAACTCTCGTACCATCCTGGCCCCTTCTCCTACATACTTTTGAACTAGTTCAGAACCGATCACTCGGATAAAGGTCGCATCTGTTCGGTTTGCTACGGCTCGGGCACATAGGGTTTTTCCGGTGCCTGGTGGTCCATAGAGCATGACTCCTTTAGGCGGATCGATTCCTAATGCTACAAATTTCTCAGGCTATTGAAATCCCAAAACCAAAACCATCAAAATGATGAAAAGAAAAGGTTTAGATCAAACTCTTCATCGGTTGTAATAGTTTTCCGTTTTTTGGGGGGAGGGGGGTGCTTGAGTGAATCTACTTACATTTAATAATGGAGTTTCGACTACTTCTCTTAATTTTTCAATTTGTTCTTTACATCCTCCTACATCTGAATACGTCACATCTGGTTTTTCTTCTACTTGCATCATCGTTACTGAAGGATCAATCTTGGGTGGTAAAGGAATTTGAATTTGATACTTTGTTCGATCGACTCTATTCTCCCAAACCCCCACCAAAAAAGACAAAAAAAGATGGAAAAAGACATTTGAGTTTCTAAAAAGTAAGAGGGTTAGGGAGATAAACTTACCCTACTCTCATACCTTCTTCTATATCAGTAGGTGCAACTCTTTCACCTAAACCTACCACAAACTTTGCAATCTGTTTCACATTGATCACATACTTATCTTCTTCATCAGCATTAGGTCTATTCTGACCTGCCCCACTCAAAGCGCCCGGCACAGGATTCCCCCCACCAGTTCCTCCAGTACCAGCAGCAGCAGCTCTTCTAGCAGCTTGTTCTGATTCTTCCGAATTAGCCTTAATAATCTTAGTACACCTAGCCACCTGTAAGCAAGAACTCTCTTCACCCATCCTTTGACGATCAACAGCTAGATCCCAAAGGTTTGGTAATCCTAGACCGGTATCCGATTCGATCACTCCCATCTTTTCTCCTATTCGGGTTTGTAATGATTTGATATCTTTTTCTATCTTGATTAGTTGTCTAGCATAAGGTCCTTGACCATAGGTTTTTAGAACTTGAATGTCGCCTTCGTCTAGTGCTATTATGTCGTCTGTGGCTGTTATATCATCCGATGTTTTTTTGGCTGCGGAGGTTTTTTTGAAGTGCGGTTGAAGGGTTTGGGTTAGCCCTGGTTTTTGGGTTGGGTTTAGGGATTTTCTGGAGTGAGGAGTGGCTTACATTTTTCCCAGTCTCTGTTTGTGATTTGATTTGAAGATAGTTAGATTGGATTAGGTTCTATGGATTGAGATGATGGTTTACTAACAGTTTTGGTGGCATTTTGTTTGATTTGATTTGATGGATAACTTGATGGATTGGTTATTGTTGTTGGTGTTGAGTGATGGTGAGTTGGTGATGGTGATGAAAGTTGAACGCGTCATTTCTAAAAACCAGTGACAGTTATCTTAAAATATGCTTATACCATCACTTACCTTACAATTCTTGATGTCATCGATCACTACATTCTCGATTTAATACATTAAATTAAACTGTAGTTTTGGATACTAAATTGTTCTAAAAGTTAAATTCCGAATGGAAGAGTCGAATGAAATGATTAAGAATTTATTGAAATTAAACCATCTCAAGACCACCACCATCAGTAAAGTTTATCAGAAAATGAAACAACCAGAAATAGATCATCAAGAACCTATTAAAGGTTTAAAATTGTATAATTCATTAACTAAATCAAAAGTATTTCAAGTTTCTCTTTTCAACTTCAAATCAAATCAAATCAAAACTAATGGTGTTTCTTTGTTCGGATACGGATTTGGATATATAGACAGACTTTATTCCTAGGATACCCGGCAAGATTTCATGGTACAATTGTGGTCCAACAGTTTACGATGCATCACACATGGGCCACGCAAGGTAAACCCCCTTCACCAATCCCAAACACTCAAAGAAAAACCCTCAATTCTTGTTGTTTTTTGGGGGATTTAGGAACTATGTAGCCCAAGACATTTTACGAAGAATCACCCGAGATTACTTCAAATATGAAATCAATTTTGTCATGAATATCACAGATATAGATGATAAGATTATCAAACGAGCAAGAGAAGAAGAGTTACTGAACCGGTTTATGAAATCTACTAAAACTTCTTTAGATGGTTTGAATAAACTCTTGGGATTACTTAGGGATGGGTTTCAATGGTTTTGGAAAACTAATTTGGAAGGGTTGGTAGGATTGGATGGGGAAAAGGTGTTGCAAATCATTAGGACAGATAAAGTTGAGGAGATCAGAGCGAGCGGGTGGGGAAAGGAAGTTTTGATGAAAGATGAACGCGTGGGGATGTGGTTGGATAGTTTGGTTTGTCGGTTTTTCTCTTTCTGGAATGTTCTCTTTTTTTTGCGACTGATTGAGTTGATTAGGTTCTTTTTGGGGGTTTGTAGGTGGCTTTGAATCGATCGATTGGAGAAGTTGAACAACTTGTTGAGCGTTTGTTGGATCATCAATCGGTTTCGGAAATCGAATTGAATCAAATCTTGAAAGGTTCATCTGATATTTTATCTAAATATTTAGATCATCAAGTAAGTTATAAAAGACACAAAACCTTTTTTCACTAAAAAAGATTGGATTTTTTTAAAATTCTATATAAAAGCCTTTTTAAACTAACACTTTTTTTAAATCGTTTTGATTCTTTTTGTAAAACTCTTGGTGGTTTTTCTTTTGTATAGTCAGGTTCAACAATTACAGATCATAAGATCTTCAAATCTTTAGCTACGAAATGGGAACACTCATTTTTCGAAGACATGAAATCTTTAAACGTAGAACCACCAACGGTGTTAACCCGAGTCTCAGACTACATACCCCAAATCGAATCCTTCATCTCTCAGATCATGGAGAACGGATACGCCTACGAATCCAATGGATCGATCTATTTCGATGTCCTAGCCTTCGACCATTCAACCCTTAGATCCGACCCATCCCTTCACCACACATATGCCAAACTTTCACCATCGTCTAAAACGAATCTCAAGTTAATTAAAGAAGGTGAAGGAGGTTTGAGTAGTTTGATGGATTCTAAACGGTCTACTGCAGATTTTGCTCTTTGGAAAAGATCAAAGGCTGGTGAACCGGAATGGGAGTCTAGGTGGGGCAAAGGAAGACCTGGTTGGCATATTGAGTGCTCGGTTATGGCTTCGGAGGTCTTGGGAAATGGAATGGATATTCATTCGGGTGGGGTCGATCTTATGTTTCCTCATCATGATAATGAATTGGCTCAATCTGAAGTCAGTGGATCTTCTTTTCTCTCTTGCTTTCTTTTCTCTTCTTTCTTTTCTCTTCTCTCCTGGTAATGAGTTTCATTGATGTTGGTTTGGGTTTGGATTTGGATTTTGATGGGGGGCGTACGGGGTTTAGGCTTATCATGATTGTCATCAATGGGTTAATTATTTCTTACATACTGGACATTTACATATCGAAGGATTAAAGATGTCAAAGTCTTTGAAAAACTTTATTACTATTCAAGTTAGTTACCTTTTTGCTTTACTCTCCCTCCTTCTCCCTCCTTCTATCTCTTCTATCTCTTTCTCTCTATCTCTTTCTCTTTCTCTTTCTCTCTCTCTTTTGCTTTTTCTGGCTCGTTCTTTTTCTCTTTCTCTTTCTTGAGTTTTTAAGAAATATTGAGTTTTTTTCTTTCGAATAGGATGCTTTAAAACGTCATTCGGCTAGACAGTTGAGAATTTCATTTATTGGTCAAAGATGGGATCTTGGAATGGATTTTGCTGAAAGTTCGATGAGTGAAGTTAAAAATCAAGAATCTAGTTTGATTGTAAGTTTTCAAAAAAAAACTGATTTTTGTTTGGTGTATGAGATTTGACTGTTTTTTTGGTGGTGTGGGGTTTAGAATTTTTTTGCCGTTTTGAAGGCTTTGAAGTATGAAAGTGAGAATGAGGATGGAAGTGTAGTGAATGAGAAAGTGGATGAAAAGGATGAACTTTATGTTCATTTGAAATCATCGTAAGTCACCATCTATTTTCCAAAAACACGTTTTATTTCTCAACCCACTCAAAGACTCACAAGAATTCTTGTTGACCAATTAGTTTAGAAGAAGCAAAAGTTCAAGTCCATCAATCGTTTTGTGATTCATATAATACACCTGAAGCATTTAGACATTTGTTAAGTTTGATTAATATTACTAATAAGGTGATTTCAAGTCAGGTTTCTTGGATTCGATCCGGTAAAGGAAATTTGATTGTCGAAGAGATTGGGCTTTGGATCACGGAGATCTTGGGGGTTTTTGGGTTGGTCGAGTCGGAGGGTAGAGATGGGTTTAAGAAAAGTTTGGTGGGATGGGATTTGGTGGAAGAGGTTTGTTTTCTTTGGATCCTTCTTTTTTTTGGACGTTTTTTTGATTCAGTTGGTTTTTTTTTGGTTTTTTGGGGGATTTAGTCGGAGGAAAGGATCGTAAAGGTTTTGATTGATTGGTCAAAGTTTAGAGATCAGATTAGGAAACTTTCTAGGGATGAATTGAAGAAGAGTAAAAGTGGGGAAAAGAATGGAGAACAGACGGATGGGAGTGAACGGTTTGGGGAAAGGATTAGGAAGCGTTGTTTGGAGTTCGTTAAGGGTTTGAAAGGGTTTCATGGGGATCTTTTAGATGGTTTGCATTCTTTTCTTTGGATTGCTTATGAGGTTTAGGTGGGAAAGGAATTGATGATGGTTTTTTTGGGGGTTGGGTTTCTTTAGGTCGATTGGTTGATGAGCTTATTAAATTTCCAAGTCAAGAAACTTTAAATACCATGGTCAGTACTGATTGGAACCAAAATGAAATGTGAAATTGATTTCTACCAAATGGGTTTTTTTGTAGATTGAAAACATTCAAGATGAAAAATTAAAACCACATTTGAAAGTTTGGTTTGGGTTTTGGAACGAATTGATGAACAATGGAAACCAATTAGATGGGAAAGGTGTTTTGAGTCTTTGTGATAAGTTGAGAGATTCGGAGTTGATTGGAGTTGGGGTTGCATTAGATGATCAAGATGGTAAGAGAATTTTCTTAAACCTTCTGAAAGATTTAAATAGATGTGATAAATTGAATCTTGATGATTTTTTTTTCTGGAAATTGGTTTAGATGGAAGAGCTTTGGTGAAGGTTTTACCGATTAAAATGTTACAAGAAGTAAGAGAAGAAAAACAAAAAGGAAACCAAAGTAAAAATAAAAAACCGGGTTTTACTTCGAATTCTACTTCAATTCAATCAACTGAATCTAAACGAATTGAAAAGATTATGAAAGGTAAGATCAAAGCTAATGAGATGTTTAAGGTTGAAGAAGAACATCAAGGAAAATGGAAAGAGTTTGATGAGAATGGGATCCCATTGATTGATTCGGATGGGAATGAGATTAGTAAAGCTAAGAAGAAAAAGTTTTTGAAGGAATGGGAGATCAGGAAGAAAGTGGAGATTGAGTATGAAGAATGGATGAAGAAACAGGAGTTGTGAGGAAGTTTGAGGGTTTGATTTGATTGGGAGATGATGGGATTGGTTGAAAGTTTGGAGGTTTCTTAGGTGTGCTTTGTGCTTTGGATTAGGGGTTTGGTTTGAGAAAAAGATGATTTTTGTGTAGATTTTTTTTGGTTTTTGGAATTTGATCATGATATACTTTGCTATTTTTTGGATTTGTGCTTTGAGGAAGAGGTTGGATATCTTGAGGGTTGGGGAAGAGTTAACAAACTTCATCTTTAAACTAATGTACTGGCATCTTCCTCATGAGGTTCTCTCAAATCAATTCCCTATTGCAATTTAATGTCAATCATCCAGTTAATGAGGGTTTGATGAGGACACTGAGCCAGATGGTACAGATTAGGAGGTTTTAAGTGGTACTGTATGATGAGCAACAATGTATGATCAATTTAAATTGAACATCTAGTAGATAGAGGTTCAGGACCATGAGATGGAGGAAAGAACTCATGGGTCATTCAAAAATTGTATCATTTTTTGATATATTTCATAGGTTTGATGCTGGTTTTCATTCTGTTTGCCATTGGCCTCCAGAGGGTTATGGAATTCAAACTTTGATCAAAATCAGATATCATGATTGAATTTAATGTAGGTTGATTGGTAGATCATGATGGTCAACTACACATTTTGAAAGTTAATATTTACATCTCATGAGATACAAAATAGAAAATTAGGATATTGAATTCCAATCATAGGGCCTCACTGTTTGCAATCACTACAAGCTGAAAAGAACATGAAAGGAAATTGTAAATGATTGAAGTAGATTTCTTCCTAGATCATTTTGGATTTTGACTTACTGAGGTATTGAGTCTTGGTTGGACTGGAACCGTAACAGCTATACATTTTTTTTCCAGGATTGATACATGCTAAAGAATTTAATGACAATCTTAAAAGTTAGAGAAAAAGATATAAAGCAAGTAATGGGAGAAAGGATTACGTACTGAATGTTCCATCATTTGACCAAGTGTAATCCGCACACTCTTGCTGACTTACGTTAGGGTCATCTGAAGGTGCGTCGTAAGGTCGACAGGTGGCAATACCAGAACTGCTCCGCAACATATAGCGGTATCGGAGCGGTATTGGAGCGGTTTTTACACCGCTATATTGACCACTATACGTAGCGGTGGCTCCGCTCCGCCATCCCAAGGCGAGAAAACCATTAGCGGTCTGACCGCTCCGATATGGGAAGGGTCTGAGGGCACTTCAATATGCCTTTTAGCCCTTATAGCAGCGATATATAGCGGTATCGGAGCGGTAAAATACCTTCCGCTCCGATACCTTGTGATATTTTTTTAAAAAAAAATATCGGTCAAGTATCGGTGATCTCATAGCGGTTACTCCGCTCCGATACCAAAATGGGTTGAAATCCATAGCGTATCGGAGCGGTTCTGGTGTTGCAGGTGGACATCTTGACCCATTTATGGCCTACATGGATGTGTGTTCATAAAATCAAGATCTAACCAGTAAGCTTTCATGTGATCATTGGATATTGAACAATGAGTTTCTATATTTTGATGAAAAAAACCACATACCGTTATTCCAACAGCTACTGTAGACACATAGGTGTGATTCATCTTGATCAGTACCCACCAAGCAAGCTTTGAAATCAAAAGAAGATTGATTCAGTTGAACTTTTTGTGATGAAGTTCTTTGAAAAAAATGACAAGAAAAAAATGTTTTACGTACTAACGCCTTCCAGAGGGTTTGTAAAGACTCCTGTTAGTCCGACAGTGCAATGGAATGCAGAACCTGCAATTGATGAGCGTACCGCGAATGCGGTGATGGTGATCACTAAAATCCAAACCTTCAGAGAATATTGTTGGAACATGTTGATGAGTAAAGTAAGATCAACAATAGTTAAGGGAGACGATGAAGTTGAGTCTTGAATAGCGTTCAGAAAAAATGTAAAAGAGGCCTTCAGGTAATTTCCCTACAAAGACTCGGCATTCAGGCTGGACGCTTCTTCCGGGAATGCTTCTTCCCTCGTCTACCAAGGCGCTGGCGTGTGGCGATAAAGGGCTGCACCCAATTCGGAAAGATCCGGTCTCATTTACAGTGTACACACATTTTTTCGACAAAAGCAGATTTCACCCTATGTACCGTTTTGATTTTGCTAGCTCCAAAGCCGAAATCTCAACATCTTTCGAACCAACGCAACAATCCGGTCATGAATCTAGACAACTCAACTAAGGGGTTTGCTCACGTTTTGTAGTCACATCATTCACGCGAACGTGTCTTTTCAGGCTCAGATTCAAATTGTTGGTCTTGACCTTTGCTGTTTCCAGGTTTGTGTTTCCTCCTAGTTGATAAAGTTCATGTCAATCCATGACAGACATATTTCCTCACTCTTGGCGCCTTTTTAGAAAATTTTTACAATAGGAGCCTACGGATTGGACGAAAGATGGCGAACGAACGAATACTCTTGAACAGTACCAACTATGAGATCTGGAAACCCAAAATGGAGGAAAAGCTTCAAAATCTTCACCTATTGGAAATAACCTCAAGACCGCCTTTGATGACTCAGGGTTCTTCAGCTGAAGACCTAGCCTGGCTCTCAATACTCGAAAAGGAAGCTTATGACGTTATAATGGATAATTTAGATGAAAGCTCTGTTATGATCGCAAGCGCTTACACTGATACCAATCCCAAAACAGGATCCGGTTTATGGAAATACCTTCAAAATAGACATTCAATAAATGGTATTATCAATCGTACAATGTTATACAAAAAGTTTGCGAAGATCCAATTCACTACACTAGATACCTTTTGTGATGAGATCCGAGTATCTATTGAAGAATTTTCTATAGCTCAACTCGAGATTCCAAAAGATTTATTGGTTGTGATGATCTTTGGTAAACTTCCTGACTCATTCGATTATCGTATTCAACTTATCTCTCAAGATTTAAATCATGATCATGATGTAGAGTATGTGTTGGGTCGTCTTGAAGAGGATGACATCACTTTTGACCAGATGAGTGAGCCGGCGACGGAGGAAACAAATGGATTCCGGAAAACGAGCTAGGCCACCACTGGCAGTACAAGAATTTCTCAAGATGTTTACGAAGAGTCCTTTTGAGTCTCCCTTCCAGTCTGGAAATTCGGTCCTCAATAATCTCGAACTGGAGCAGGTTACTTTGTAGCTCATCTTACTTTGTAGCAGTAGAAAGTTATCATCGAAGAAGAACAAAACGGACCCTACTTATCATACGACTCACCATGATTTTCGATTCCCAGTGGCTCGGATTATTACGAGCCAAGTAATTGAGCTGTTAACTTCAAGGATACGTCTTGGGAGAGGACGGTTATTTCATTTTCTTGAGCAGGAAAATACGTTCAATCTTTTAACCCTAAAATGTTAGCTCTTCATAGATTGTCAATAGTGTGAAACTTTTTCTGCTTAGACAAGTGTGCAAGTCAAGTAGACCATTTGGTTTCTAGAAGAATGATTTCGATGTTGAAATTAGCGTATATACATGCGGTAGAGGAGATTTTAGTGAATTTAAGCTTCCACCTCAGGTAAGAAATTAATGTGACAAAACTCCATCATTAGACTCTGCAAGTCATTGATATTTAATCAATTCTGTTGCAAAATAAAACTGCAAAACGTTTTATACCTTGCATACTGCAAATCCGATAAAAGGAATCAAAGTGGTGCTGAAAGGAGTGGAGGTCAAATCGTGTCAAATGCGTGTCATGAATCCGATTGGCAACAAGCTGAAGTGGCTCTCGCGGGCGGGATACCTCTGTTCTTGCCAATCTGATGTGATGGTGTTATGATTTCCCTTTCTCTTGCCTGATAAGCTTGCAGATAACTATTTTGTTCTCCACTCTTGAAACTCGGGTAGGAAGGCAAGGAACATAATCATCTTAGTTGTTCTTTCAACCTGTTCCCTCTATCTTGAAGTTGGTACTGATTTTTTCCACCTCTCAAGGTATGTTTTGCGGTGCCGTTAAGTTTGAAAACCTTGCAATTCGGATCGAGAAACTCATTGTGGACCAAACTACTCAACATTTTGCCCAACAGTTTGAACCCTCAAAGTCGCGACATCGCAGGACGTGATCATCACAGCCATCTTTACAGGATTCCCACATTGTGATTGGTCAAAGTTTGATGTGATGATAATTATCGTCGCGTGGTTCGTAATTGATACGACAGTGAACGCTTTAATCGCACGAGTTTCTAAAATGTGGAATTCAGGCACCCACAAAGCCTTGGTATAAGATAGTGGATCCTTTGACGTTCCTTCTTCAAAACACATTCATCCTCTTCATCTTAAACCAATCCATCTCCATACCAATTCTCCGAAACAAACACCCACCTCCAATAACTCCAATAAATTCACTTTTCTGAATAATGGCTTCCTCTAACATCACCGCCCAATCGACCGCCTTCCAACGTACCGATGGCACAGAGGACCGCATAAGCTCTCATCCCTTTATAGGTAATTATAATCATCCAACATCAGCTTTACCATATGAATACTCACCTTGAATCTCCTTCTTTTGCAAATCATCTAGGCCCTGGTGTTTTAGATTTGGTTAGATTCACAACTGAGAACAAAACTGTCAACGATACTCCAAGATCTTCGACAAAGCCAGAAGATCATCTTTCTGAAAAACTCGAAGAGATGGAAATCCAAAAAACTTCTCTTGTATCTCGTATACCAACTCGAGAGAAGAAACCTTCGGTGACTCCGTACTACCGAAAGCCTAAGTTTGTTCGAGCTCGCGCGCCCGAACCACCTAGGCAACATAAGAGGCAGAGGCAATCTGCCGTGACCATAGACCTCAAGGAGCTCAACAAATTGGAGAAATCTACCGAGTGATAAGCTACTGTGATATCAGTGGGTGAGTCACATTTCGTAACTCAATTATTGGCAGTATTCACAAAGACTTCTCGAATGTTAATGAACACCTTTTCCCTCATTTTATTTGGATTTCTATCAGTGGACTTCGAGAGAGCGATGTGGTGAATTCGGAATTCTTTTTGATTCGAAACTTTTGTAACTCCTTTAGTGTAGTAACTTTGTACCCGTAAGATTTGTAGCCAGTAAAATTTGGATTTGTTATCTCTTTGAAGTGAAAGAAAATAACTGGCTTCTGTCCAGCTCGATGATCTTGTAATGCAAACAATGTCGAGTAATACTACTTGTGATACATGAGTCATATTCAATCACTTCGCAAGAGTTTACACTACGGAGTACGGGCTAGTATTCTATGTTGGAGGCAAAAATTTCTTCATGAGTAAAGAAGAAAAAGGGTGTTGTATCTTGAGGAGAAGTTTCCATGATTTCAAATCATTGTCAGTTCTCCTTTGGAGTCCTCAAGAGACACAGTGTCCGAGCGCAATTCAGCTATATGATCCAATGAGGGAGACTTGATAGACACCAGATAAAGTCCATTGAATAATCCTCTAATGGCTTTGAGTCAGCTAACAAAATCAATGTCATCTCCATATTTCCCTTCCTGCTAGGAAGTTTTATTAGTCACAATCAGGGTGACAAATTCTTCTGCATGACAAGCCATTCTATACACTTCCTTTGCTATGAAAATCATTGACACACTCTTTTCTTGGAATTGAAAGGACTCCTACTCTGATTGTGTCACTGCATCTTGTTACTGTCTCAAAGCAAATCTAACCTTCTTAATAGATTGTTCCAAGGTTGAAGTGTTGGCTAAACATCACTCTGCATGTTCCCCATCTTGTGAAAAGTTGAGAGATGCCCATATTGTGTTTTGGTGAGAGATAGAGCATCAAACAGGTCCACTTGCTGGAACTTAAACTGATGGTAACAGCACTAAAGATAAAGAAAGGCCCAACGTATCTTGAAATCTTGTGTGAACTGGCAGTTCTTGACTTGGTGATAAGCCAAGAGTGCCTTTGAGATCCTCTCATTCAGAGCTTCTCAAAATCAGCTTTAAGTGGAGCAATGCAACCTTTTTGGTCTTTTCATTCAGAGCATTGATTTAATTCAGAGACATGGGCTCTACATGTAGAAATACATCAGCTCACATAGCTCTTGTAATGTTCAATGGGTCATCCTAGAAAAGCGACTTTTGAAAAGCTGTGGATGAGGGGATCTTGAAAGTGCTCTTGGCTTCTCACCAAGTTGTAAATTGCTGGCTCACATAGAATATCAATATTCTTGGGGCCTTTCCTTATATTTGGTGTGGCACACCATACTGTACCCCACAAAACTTGGCATAGGGTCTGTCTGGGCTTTTCAAAAGAAGGGGCTTATAAGAAAACCTTGTTACTACTCTGAGTCTAACTTGCCCCAGCTCAAAGATGAAGAATACATGCCTTGATCTCCTCTACAACCTGGCACTCTTGGTTTTCAAATATCTTGCCCTCTCACCAATTTGAAAACCACAGGGTCATCTAGAATTACAAGATCCTGTAGGCCTTTCCTCATCTTTGGGGTGGCACACCATACTGCACCGCACAAAATATTGGCAAGAGTTTTGTTAGTGCTTTTCAAAAGAATGAACTTACCAAGTTGGGAAGTACAGGCTCACATAGAATTTCAAGATTTGTGGGGCCTTTCCTTATCTTTGGTGTAGCACACCATACTGTACAACCAAAACTTGGCATGTGTTCTGTCTGAGATTTTCAAAAGAATGAACCTATGATGAAGTGTTTTTTCATAACTCTAACCTTCCCCAGATCTAAGATGAAGAATTCTTACCTTGATAGCCTCTAAAATCTTGCACTCTTAGTTTACAAATAGCTTGAGTGGTTCCAAGATACATACATCGTCTCTGACATAACCCATTGGTGCTGTAAGCCATACTCCATCAAAACCCACACAAAGCTGGCCATCTGCAGAAAAAATTCCGGGAAAGTGGGTACATAACCCATAACTTTGTAGTACCCCATAACCCATAAGGTTTTTGAAGGGAACCAGAGTTCATGACCCATAAAAGTCAGGGGTCATTTGAAAAAAAAATGACTGACGGAGTCTTAAAAAACTCTAAACATAAAGATTTACAGACAAACTCTATTGATACTAACACTATTCAACCCTATTTAACTTTCACACACCGCACATCACAAACTCAATTATATGATACTTCCTCCGAACTTGTCCAAATACATTGTGGCCAATATTGAGGAAGGTTTCAAGAAATTTGAAAATATGCAACAAGAAGCAAATGAAAAAGAATCTATAGTAGGAAATATACCACCACAACAACAACAAAGCCTCAGATATCATGCTATCTGACTTGGAAAGTGACAATGCACAAGAAGTGCAGGGGTATGAAAGGGCCATCCAAGCCTCTGTTAGACACTGCCAATTGCTACGTGTTAAAGCTGTAAAGCAGCGCAGCAGACTTTTTCTGATATGTTTTTTAAGGTTTCCCAAGAAGTCAATTTTTTGTTTTGTACAATCTTTGCCATAACCCATATTTTGTCTGCAAATATATAATTATGGCTTTTGAAAGAGATTGAGGTAACCTATACTCTAGCAAAACCCATACTTTTGGGCAACATTTTTTGGGTATGGGTTATGTCAGAGATGACTATATAGACATTTTCAGGTCTCAAAGTCAAAATGTACAGTGATGTTGTTTGTGATTCAAATTTCAGTGCACTTTCAAAAAAACTGTTCTATGTATATCCAGAGCCACCTGGGTTATTGAGAAAGTGAGAGTTGTGGCTTGTAGAAGAGATCAACTTGCACATCCTTCATCAAAGACACTTTTATAATGAGGCTGATTGTTGTCAAAGAGCCCCAACAGAAGTGGATCAAGATTTTGTTTTTACATGTTGGTCCCTTGCCCTTGCTGGAGTTGGCGGGTACAGTTAGGTATTTCAAGTTCATTTTTTTTCATACAGTTGCCTCTACAATTCACCATATGCCTAGTGACCTATACTCTACCCTATTCAATGGTTTTTTGTTCACAAAACACATAATTTCTTGCAGGCAGAATGGCAAACCTTGAATCTAAATGCCTTCAAATCTCTCCAAAGCCATATGACTCCATCAGTTCCACACAAATCATCACAAGCTCAACACATCATCACAAATTCATCTTTTCTACCAACAAAGATGCTCCCTACATCTTCTATAGCTTGGTATCATTGAAAATCATTTCTAAAGTTAATACAAGGTCTGTTTGCAAACTATTTGATCCCACCAATGATTATGTACGTACCCTTGAGACCTGGACTCCAATGGATTCTTCAAGTTGTCAAACACCACACCCACAGCACAGATCTACCTGCTCCAGAGCACTCCACGGTTGAGATACCTGCTCAGCCAGTGTACTCTGATTTGCTCAAGTCCACAGATGTTGTCACAAATTAAATCAGACACAAATATTCTGAGGAAGTTGAAGCATGTGGGGGGACTCTCTGTTGACCTCTGCAGGCATTTAGTGCAGCACATTCCAAGTTCAGCCCACGATTCTGTCTTGCCTTTTGTAAAGAATCTTTGTAGTACATACTCCATGAAAACACATATCTTTTGAGTACTGTAAAAATGTATGTGTTATCTCAGAGACCACTGATTTTTTTAAGAATTTGGAAAAAGTATCCATAAGAAAACTTCATAAGGCCCATGAGATTCCTAAAAAGGTGCTCCAATCTAAAAAACTGAAGCATACTTTCCAACAAGGTACAGTTTCTTGTAGTGCAAGAATACATGAAAACCTTGAACTTGAAACTGTTGGAGTATTGTAAAGCTTACTTTGGGTTCAAAAACATTGAGGCTGATGAAGATGGTTGAGAAGGAAAATGAATAATTGTATTATGAATGTATGAATGTAGTTAAAGGATATTGGGTCAAGCTGAATTAGGTGACATTGAAAAATGATCAGAAATTAAGGAGTTACTAGAAGATTTTGACTGGCTTGGAAATTCAATGGGTCAGTGTACTCAAAAATCATTATGATAGTTAGATGGAATGATTCTCTCTCTCTGATACTTAATATCTTGTTGCTGTTTGCACTTGGAATCTTTTTCCCCCATTGAAGAAAAAGGATTCTGAGAGTGAGTTATACCAATTTGTCATTTCTCTTCTTACTATATCATCAAGAACTTCACTAAAGCAGTCTTACATGTATTTTTATTACTGTTACTTTCTTCTCTCATCACCTTTTTCTACACCTAGTTAATCATCTATAATCCTCCCCTGACCATTCAGGTTTGATAAGTTAAGCACATGTACTTATTGTTTTACTCAGATTTATTTTGTCAACACCTGCTGATAGTTTTTCAAACCTTTACAAAGGTGTTTTGTATGCTGCTTGTGCTTTATTGATCTCCATTGAGGGAAAAGACTCTAAAATTAGTTATCTGAAATCCTCCCCTGGCCATTCATGTTAGTCAAGTTTAGTACTTGTACTTATTGATTTACTCAGCTGTGTCTTGTCTACACCTGCTGATGCTTTGTCAAATCAGGTATTGGGCACAGATTTGCCAGAGAGCCACACCCAGGCGCAGAATCCTGTGTCTGAAATGTGTCCAAATAGCAGGGCACATGTGGGTGCGCCTCTTGAGCAAAAAAACATGAAAAACATGAAAAACCCATCTCAAAAACCAAAATCAAGGCTGTGATGAAGCTCAAACACAAATGGGGACATGAGAAAAGGTGTTTCAAGTCAGGATAACCACACTTTTGAGATAACAATCACAGAACATTTTTGTTTAAGGACTATTTTAAGGATCCCACAACTCAGATGAACAATTAACACCAAAAATATCCCAAGTGGGGCTCATCTGTAGATATTTCTCTGGCTCAAAAGTTACACAAACCAAAGTGAAAATGTGATAGGCTTCCTCTAGCCCAAGATTAAGCCCAAGAAGACCTTCTATGCTTCAGATCATCCAAGTCTTGCGTATGGGCGCGCCTTTTGACACGCCGAACGCGCCGCGCCCACCACATGATTGTCAAACCTTTACAAATATTTTAGTCTGAATCACAGAATGTCGAGTCTGAGTAACTTCATTGCAGAACCCTGGAATATGGATGCGCCTGACAAGAACCTTAACATTTCTTATTAGGTTTTGGGGGTCATAGAAGGACTGCACTGCATGTTTTGACAAGTACATGAGAGCAAAAGATGCGCCTGGCTAAAGGCGTTTGGATGCGCTGATTTCCAACCCTTTAGCGCCACTGGTTCCTGAGATAATCCAGTGTAACACCCGAAATATGGTCTTGAGGATAGGTTTTCATGCCTTTGTGTTTTACGCCGCGATGAACCAAGCATCGAAGCTACGACAAGTCTTGTGGGGTAGCCTTAGACGATGCGCGTCGTTTAAAGGGCTTGATACCTCCAGGCGAGGACTGGGGTGTAGTGTAGAGCTCAAAAACCCGAAAACGGTTTTCATCAGATAAGTCTATGGGCGCATTCCAGGTTCTTGAAGAGCTGAGTCCAGAAAGGGATGAAGTGATGAGAGCTGAGAAGAAAGGTGAAAGAGCCCTTACAAGGTGTGGGGCTTAGTTAAGCTTAGGGATTTTCCACTCAGCGACTCATTTGGTTCACTGAGCATACTGCTTGTGTTCGATACTACAAAGAAAGGATTTTATGAACCACGCGAACTGGGTATATCAGTCGATGTACCTTTCCTTTTACCAGGTTCGTTTTGACTCTTTGTCAAATTAATCCATCGTCGATATATTTACTCATCATCGGTGTCTTACTTTGAAAGCCTGCTGGACATACAAACCGTGCCGAACGAACAAATACTCTTGACCTCTTACTTTGATAGCCTGTTGGACATACGAACCATGCCGAACGAACAAATACTCTTGACCGATACCAATTACGAGTCTTGGAAACCCAAGATGGAAGACAAACTCAAAAGACTTCAACTGTTGGAAATAACTTTAAGGCATCCTTCGATGACTGAAGATTTCTCGGCTGAAGATTTGCACTGGTTCACAGTACTAGAGAGAAAAGCTTATGACGTTATAATTGGCCATCTAGACCAACAATCTTTATTGATCGCAAACGCTCACACTATCAACCAACCCAAAACAAGATCTAGTTTATGGAAATACCTTGAAGGAAGATATTCAATGAATGGTATAATCAATCATACAACTCTATACAAAAAGTTTGAAAACATCCAATACAACACTAATCTTGCTACCTTTTGTAATGAGATAAGAACATCAATTAATGAATTTTCTAAAGCTCAACTCGAGATCTCAACAAAATTATTAATCGTGATGATCTTAGCTAAGCTTCGTGGACCGTTCGATTATCGTGTACAACTGATCTCTCAAGACTTGAACGATACTCATGACGTAGAATATGTTTTGAGACGTCTTGAAGAAGATCTAATGATTTTTAACATGCCAACTCCACCGATGTGCCCAACAACTCCGTCGGTGTCTTCTGCTTCCGGAAAACGAAAGACACCACCGTTATCCGATTTTCCTCCGAAATCGAATATGACTCTGTTTAAGATTCCATCAAATCCTACAAAACCTAGTTTTCAATGGTATGAACCACCCGAATATCCCCCTCGAAGAAAAGGAAAATAAATCCCACTTGTCAATCTGACTTGATCGCTCACCATCACTTACGATCCCACCACATCTTGTATACTCATAGGCTGATGAATTGGGACAATTTCAGGGATATGGGATGGGTTTTTGGTACGTGCAGGAAAAAGCTTGGATGTTTCGACCTCAAATCAGTCATATTATCACGATTTAATACTTTAGATCTATGTTTACTTGCTGACTGCGCCAGAAGATTCGTGAAAGAATTGGCACTAAACAAAAATTTACCTTGAGAGATGTGGTTCTCACCACACTTTATTGATGCGACTTTATGAGAGGTCCCAAAATCCATTTCTGGTGAGAGCTTTTCCCAACCTTCATTGAAAGTTCTGCTATGAGTCAGAACCCCATGAGAGGGACTGTGTGGCCATAGAGGAACCAAGACGTGTGCTTGATCAATTCCTGCATGATTCGCAGCATCTCTAAGAGTGAAGCCAAGCCTAACTTTCCAAAGTTTCCAGGGACTTTAGGATCACTCATTTCTTTCACCGTCCTCTTTGTGTTTTCCATTTGATACTGATTAGCTTCAGTTCTCACAATATATTTTGCGGTGTGTCCAAGTTCGCAAAGCTTGCTATTCGGATCGAGATGCTGATATGTCATGGTTCCAAACCAATCTACTCAACATCTCTCTCAGCGGCTTAAACCCCTCAATCGCAGCATCACAGGACGTGATCATCACAGCCATCTTTGGGAAATGCTGACTTCTGATTGGCCAGATTTTCGCGTGATGTTAATTATCGTCGCGTGGTTTGTAATTGTTGATTTTATATGAGACGGTGAACGCTTTGATCGCTTGATTTTGCAAAATGTGGAATTCAGGCACCCACAAAGCTTTGATATAAATTAGTGGACATTTCGAACTTCCTTCTCCATCAAGAATTCTTATCTCAATCCAATCCACTTCCATAACAACTTTCAAAAACAAACATCTAAACCACCACCCACTCCAATAAATTCAAACATCGTAAAAATGTCTACCACCAACGTCCTCAATAAGTCAGTCACTTCACAACGCAGCGGTGTCCCAGAGGACCTCAACAGCCAAAATCCCTTCATAGGTAATTATAATTGTCAAACATTACCATCAACAATTACGTTTACCTGCTAACTTTTTGTTTCCTTCATCTCATGATCACCACTATACTTGATACTCCTGCATTCTTTTTCCAAAACAATTTAGGTCCCGGTGCTTTTGATCTGGTTAGGTTTACAACCGAGAATACTACGGTCAATGATACTTCAAAAACTTCGAAAAGTCCACAAGAGCATCTTTCCGAAAAGCTAGAAGAAATGGAAATCCAAAAACATTCTCTAGTTTCCCGTGTACCAACTCGACAGAAGAAAGCTTCTGTGACACCGTATTACCGAAAACCCAAATTCGCTCCAGCTCGCACACCCGAACCACCTAGGCAACACAAGAGGCAGCGGCAATCTGCCGTGACCGTTGACCTAAAGGAGCTTAATAAATTGGGGAAGTCTACCGAGTGATATGTAAGCCAATCTGGTATCAGCCTGTGAGTCACATAGGTCATCTAACTGTTGGTATATAGGATCCACAAAGACTTCTGAAGTTTTGACTAAGCATCTCTTTCTTCCTTTGATTTCAATTTCTATCAGTGGACTTCGAGGAAAAGATGTGATGGATTGCGATTTCATTTTGAATCAAACCTTTTGTAAACCTTGCAGTGTAGTTGTTTTGTGTTCGTAAGATTTGTACCCAGTAACAGTTGAATATGTTACCTTTTTGAAGTGAAAGATATCTACTGGCTTTTGTCCAGCTCAATAACTTCATAATGTAAATCATTTCAAGTGATACTACTTGCGTTACTTGCGCCGTATCAGTTCATATTCAATCACGTCGGAAGAATCTATGCTAGAGACTATGATTATGTATTGGAAGTGAAATCTTCTTTGTGAGCAAAGGGGAAAAAGTGTCTCGTATCTTAAGGAAAAGTTTCCATGATGTCAAAATGATTGTTACCTTCATCTCTCGAGTCCTCAAGATACCCAGTGTTCGAGTACAATTCAGCTGCATGATCCGATGAGGGAGTCCTGATAGCCACCAGATCTTCGTTGAATGATCTTTTAGTGGCTCTAAGTCAACTAGCTGGATCGATTTTACCTACACGCATCCCTTCCCGTCCAGGAATTATACCCAGAAACGCGCGTAAGAGTTACAATCAGGGTGACCTTCAATCATGCAAATGAAACTTTTTTGAAAAGCCTTGCTATATACTTTCATTTCTATGAAAATCAGTGACACATAATTCTTGTCTTGAGATTGAAGGACTCGAAATCTGATTGTGTAAAGGACCGGCCTTGTTGTGAATTCAATTTCTCTTCTCAAGAGACAAAAATGTGGGTGTCATTTTTAACTCGGACATTCTTTCACCGCGATCTCGGTATCTTGAATTTGATACCTCATCTGCTCCACCTCTCAGACTCTGTTAATGCCTGCAAGGCAGAAAAGCTTGCGGTTCGATTCGAGAAATTCCTTTATCATGATTCCGAACCAAACTACTCAACATGTTGCCCAACAGTTTGAACCCTCAAGATCGTGCCATCGCAGGACGTGATCATCACAGCCTTACAGGATTCTCGCATTCTGATTGGTCAGATTTTATTGCGATGATAATTATCGTCGCGTGGTTCGTAATTGATACGACAGTGAACGCTTTGATCGCACGAGTTTCTAAAATGTGGAATTCAGGCACCCACAAAGCCTTGGTATAAGATAGTGGATCTTTTGACGTTCCTTCTTCAAAACACATTCCTCCTCTTCATCTGAAACCAATCCATCTCCATACCAATTCTCAAAACCAACACCCACCACCAATACCACCAGCAAATTTACTCTTCTGAACAATGGCTTCATCTAACATCACCGCCCAATCGACCGCCTTCCAACGTACCGATGGCACAGAGGACCGCATAAGTTCTCATCCCTTTATAGGTAATTATAATCATCCAACATCAACTTTACCATTCAAATACTCACCTTGAATCTCCTTCTTTTACAAATCATTCAGGCCCAGGTGTTTTAGATTTGGTTAGATTCACAACCGAAAAGGACGCTGGCAACGATTCCACAAGATCTTCGAAAAAACCAGAAGATCAACTTTCTGAGAAACTCAAAGAGATGGAGATCCAAAAAACTTCCCTTGCCTCTCGTATACCCACTCGAGAGAAGAAACATTCGGTGACACCCTACTACCGAAAGCCTAAGTTCGTTCGAGCTCGCGCACCCGAAGCACCTAGGGAACACAAGAGACAAAGGAACCCTGCCGTGATAGTGGACCTCAAGGAGCTTAACAAAATGGGGTCCGGGAAACATACCGAGTAATAAGCTAATGCGATATCAGTGGGTGAGTCACATTTCATAACTCGATTATTGGAAGTATTCACAAAGACTACTCAAATATTAATGAACACCTGTCCCCTCATTTTATTTGGACCTCTATCAGTGATGTTCGAGAGAGCGATGTGTTGAATTTGGTTGTTTTTTTTGATTCAAAGCTTTTGTAACCTCTTTAGTGTAGTACCTTCATATCCGTTAAATTTGTAGCCAGTAAAACTTGGATTTGTTACCTCTTTGAAGTGAAAGAAATTAACTGGCTTCAGCCCAGCTCGATGATATCATAACGCAAACAATGTCGAGTAATACCACTTGTGATACTTGAGCCCGTTTCAATGGAGCATTCTGCCTACATTTTCGATCCAAAAAACTTGCAAGTCGGACTCAGCAACTTATGATACATCGTGACCGCGAACCAAACTACTCATTTTTCTGCTCAACGACCAAAACCGCTGGGTATTTAATCACTACATGACTTGATCATTCTCACCGCCATCTATACTGTAATTCCAGAATCATGGATGACGATTGACCAGGTCTTATGGTGATGATGATTATTGAAATCTCATAGTGCGTTAATTGTTTTCCTATAAGGCCGTTTACACTTTGATTGAGAATCTGCTAAAGTTGTAGAATTCAGGTAGCCGTCAAGCTCTGATATCAAAAAGTGAACATTTTGATCTTTCAAGAAAAGCTGATCTGCCTCGAAGCTCAAATGAAGTGTGGTAATCAAGATATTTTGAGGGATACATATTATCATCATTGAACAACGTCCTGATACTCGAGCGGCAGAAGGTATCGAGTGCTACAGTGCCTTGTTCGGACCACTTTATCGAAACGAGAAGTGAGGAGAGAAGAAGTGATCTGAAGTTGTAGTGCCGTGTAGCTGACTCCTGAACGGGTAAGGAAGGCTTAGGAAGGCTTTCTGTCGACTTGTCGACTTAAGTTAAGTCAAAAGGTGTATGCGCACATAGCATGAAACCGATTTTTGGTGGAGTTGTACCATATCTACATTTCAATCGGTCAACAAGATGGGAGAAAAGAAATCTGGAAAGCTAATGGTAAGTAATCGGTATGTCTGATTATCTTCATGAAAACTTCCCGACTGAACGTCTCAAGCTGACTTTCGCATTCATAAATAGTTCAAAGGCGAGAAAAAGGAGAAAAAACATAAGAAACGAAGACATCAAGAAATTAATGAATCCAACAATACACCACAAGATCAAACCGAAGGATGGTTAAATCCACCTACTCCAAATCATATCCTAGGACCGATTTATTCAATTTGTATCAACCCACCTAAATCCAAACCATGTTCGATTGCAATCTTTCCTTCACCAGTCACCCCGATTGCCAAAGTCGCACCTGCAATCCTTTCAACTGAAGCACTTGAAACTCTTGAACCAGATGACGTGAATCATGTGATGGTTTGTACAAGAATAGTAGATAGTGAAACGATGGTAACCTTAAGAGTTGCTAATGGAAGATATCTTGCTACAGATGAATTAGGTGATGTAACTGCTGAACGTGAAGCACGTGGAATTCAAGAAGAATGGACATTTGAACCTATCATCTTACCCAACGAAGATGAAAAACTTAATGAAGAACCTTCAACTTCTAATCAAAAGAATGAAGAATCAATTCAAGTTGAAAAAGGAGAAACTTTAGATGGCGTTTTTTCAATCCGATCAATTGCTTATAATAAATATATCAGTATTGAAGAAATCGCGGGTGGAAAATTATCTATTAGATGTGATTCTACTACTTCTGATGATCCGTCTTGTCAATTCTTAGTTCGTATGCAAGCAGCAGAATTGATCAAAGCGAAGAAACGTTTAGCAGATGAACTTGCAAAGAAAGGTTTACTAGCACAATCTAATGATAACGGTACCAACCTCGGTTTAACAATCCTTAAACCTGGTCAGACTATCGCAGATTTAGAAGCAAATGCAATGTGAGTCTAGAAATCAACTCTTATCGATTTTTTTCATATCATCTTTGGATCTATCAAATACTGATTCCATGTGTTATGTTTTTTTTTTCATAGACGTCAGAGTCAAACTCGTGGAGCAGGTCGACTTATAACTTCAATGGAATCATCATCATCACTTAAAAAAGCACGTAAAGATGGAAGATTAGCTGAAGAATTACTTGATCGTCGATCAAAACTGAAAAGTGATCGATATGCAAAAGTTAGTCAACTTATTAACCTTTGTTTTCAATACTTCCTTAAATGTCTTGACTAACATTGATTCTTATTTACATATTTCTTTAGTAAACATGCTCGATTTTATCATCTGATTCGTCATCTTGAATTACGCTGATATTTGTATTTATGTATTTTATTCAATCTTCTTATGATCAATAGTCTCAAAATCATGAAATATACTCATTCAACATTATTTCATCAAATATGAAACGCTGTATTTCAACCCACATCATTCTTTTGTGGGCTATCTTGCCATCTATGAACAGTTTCTTTCCCAAGAAGTCCGTAAAGAAAGGCTGTAATGCTAGTTCGTCTAATTGGAGCTTCAGGATATACATCAATCATCACTTTTAGAGCGCTTGAACAAAGAAAAATCATCCAAATATTCGTGTGAGTTTAGGAACAAAGAACATGGTTGTGAGTGAGCATCCAATGAACAGATTCATCTCATACTTCCTAAGGTAGATCTAGCAATGACCGTTCGAAATTCAAGTGAGCACAAGAGCCTCCTCAGTTACCCAGAGGCGGAAGAGATATGGCTGTATGTTTGTGTTTCCGAGATTGAATTTCTAACTTGGTGTGATGGAAATCCTTTGAGTTCATCAACAAATGTCTGATTTGCGAAAAAAGAGCGGGCGAGGACCTGCGAGAACCCCAGAGGGGGATAGCAAACTTGGACCTTCTGGCTTGTAGAGGCATCGGTCATCAAATTACGATTCTGGTGAGCCATATTTGATGCTTTGTGAGTTTATTGTATGTATATCCGCCCAATAATTAATTTCGTCTTTCGAACTAGAGGATAATCTCGAGATTGAAGAACCCCACCTGGCAATTTTCTGTTTCGAAAAAACATGGAGCTATAAGCTATAGTGAATTCCTAAAAGAATGATTGTTTCTCGAACTCATACTTTGGAGTATCACGAACAACAAGGGTGAAAAATTGTCTGGGTTTCCAAAGTTGCACACAATAAAGAAACATTCACGCATTCCAGATCGAACGCTCAAGAGAGTCCACCTAGGTCCACCCAGCATTTTCAGGCTTGAGACGATCTTGAAAGAATCATTGTTTCCCTATCTCAGGCTTCGGATTACCATATACAACAAGACGATTTTCCGTAAATCCTGCTTCTGGACATGTTTAATCACTCTGAGATATAGATACCGAATCCATTCCAGTGGATCCGCGGCTCTCAGTCATCAAGCTCACTCAAGGCGAAAAATAGACATATAAAAGCCATCGAAGTTGAACTTCTTTACCTCTCTCCTCATCCTACATCCTTACCCTCGTTGAGAGCTTTAAGAGCATACCCTTTTTATATCTCTATAAGCTAACTTATTTATTTATTTTCTCACAACCAATCTTGAAGATTGTTTTGTGATTTCTTTCAGACTTTCTTTCTATCCATTCTTAAATTTCTATAAGATGTTGTTGGGTAACTTGGTCGGAGCTCTTGCTCTTAGTGGTACGTCTTTTAGTTCCTTCTGCTCTGTCATTTTTCTTTGATAAAATTCTTAAGCTCATAAGACTTCTGATTCTTCTGCACGATTATAGCTCCTATCGTTCAAAGTATTCCTACTTTTGGACCCGGTGGTGGTGCTGGTTTTGGCGCTGGAGCCGGTGCAGGAGGTCTTGGAGCGGCTGCGGGACGTGTTGGAGCATTAGGTGGGCTCGTTCCTGGTGCTGGTGCCGGCGGTCGTTTTGGAGCTGGTGTTCGAGGAGGAGCTGGCGTTCGCGGTGGTGTTGGAGTCGAAGCTTCTGTCAATTTGGTCGCTGGATTTCAAGCTTGCACCGGTCTCATTGGTGGCTATGAAGCCCAGTTCAGAATTGCCTGTCAGCAAAACGATGTCGGAGCACTTGTCAGCGCACTTGGAAGTATCAAAGCCTCGATCCAAGGTTTAGGAATCGATGCTGATGCTTACGCCCACGTTGGTGCGGACGTGAGTGCTAGCTTACCCTTTCTTTGGCTTGACAGAACACTGACTTTTGAATTATCTTTGTAGGTTCTTACAACCAACGTTGTGGGTGTATTTATCAAGCTCCAAGTCTTGATCAAACTCCTCGCTGATTACAAGCTCAGCGCTGCATGTCATGGTAAGTCAAAACCGTTTCTTTAGAAAATACATGTAGCTTATTGATAATCGATCTTTCTCCTTGATTGTATAGGCGCCATAATTGATCTACAAGCCTCTCTTAATGGCATGGTCTCTGTAGTCAGTTCTGTTGGTATCAATGTCTCCGCCAAACTATCTGCTGCTGTCAACCTCGACCTTTTTGCCCAAATCGGACTTCATTTCGGTTTCAACGTTGGTGCCGGAGCTGGAGCTATTGTTGGAGCTGGTTTCGGAGCTGGTGTTCGCGGTGGTGTTGGAGCTGGTGTCGGAGCTGGTGTTCGCGGTGGTGTTGGAGTCGAAGCTTCTGTCAACTTGGTTGCTGGATTTCAAGCTTGTGCCGGTCTCATTGGTGGCTATGAAGCCCAGTTCAGAATTGCTTGTCAGCAAAACGATGTCGGAGCACTTGTCAGCGCACTTGGCCGTATCAAAGCCTCGATCCAAGGTTTGGGAGTCAATACTGATGCTTATGCTCACGTTGGTGCTGATGTGAGTGCTAGCTTACCTTTTCTTCGCCTTGACAGAACACTAACTTTTGAGCGATCTTTGTAGGCTCTTACCACCAACGTCGTCGGTGTATTTGTCAAGCTCCAAGTCTTGATCAAACTCATCGCTGATTACAAGCTCAGCGCTGCATGTCATGGTGAGTCAAAACCGTTTCTTTCGAAAGTATATGTAGCTTATTGACGATCGATCTTTTTCCTTAATTATATAGGCGCCATAATTGATCTACAAGCCTCTCTTAACGGCATGGTCTCTGTAGTCAGTTCTGTTGGTATCAATCTCTCCGCCAAACTTTCCGCTGCTGTCAACCTCGACCTTTTTGCCCAAATCGGACTTCATTTCGGTTTCAACGTTGGTGCCGGAGCTGGAGCTGTCGTTGGAGCTGGAGCGGGCGTCGGAGCTGGAGCTGGTGTTGGAGCCGGTTTCGGAGCTGGTGTTGGAGCTGGTGTTGGAGCTGGTGTTGGAGCTGGTGTCGGAGCTGGTGTTCGCGGTGGTGTTGGAGTCGACGCTTCCGTCAACTTGGTCGCTGGATTTCAAGCTTGCGCCGGTCTCATTGCTGGCTATGAAGGCCAGTTCAGAATTGCTTGTCAGCAAAACGATGTCGGAGCACTTGTCAGCGCACTTGGCCGTATCAAAGCCTCGATCCAAGGTTTGGGAGTCAATACTGATGCTTATGCTCACGTTGGTGCTGATGTGAGTGCTAGCTTACCCTTTCTTTGGCTTGACAGAACACTAACTTTTGAGCGATCTTTGTAGGCTCTTACCACCAACGTTGTCGGTGTATTTGTCAAGCTACAAGTCTTGATCAAACTCATCGCTGATTACAAGCTCAGCGCTGCTTGTCATGGTAAGTCAACCGTTTCTTTAGAAGATATCTGTAGCTTATTGACGATCGATCGTTCTCCTTAATTATATAGGCGCCATCATTGATCTACAAGCCTCTCTTAATGGCATGGTCTCTGTAGTCAGTTCTGTTGGTATCAATGTCTCCGCCAAACTATCTGCTGCTGTCAACCTCGACCTTTTTGCCCAAATCGGACTTCATTTCGGTTTCAACGTTGGTGCCGGAGCTGGAGCTGGTGTTGGAGCTGGTTTCGGAGCTGGTGTTGGAGCTGGAATTGGAGGCGTTGTTGGTGCCGGAATTGGAGGCGTCGTCGGTGCTGGTGTAGACGCTTCCGCTCATTTGGTAGCTGGCTTTCAAGCTTCCGCCGGTCTTATCGCCGGTTACGCATCCAACTTTGAGAAGGCGTGCCAAAGACACGACATCGGATTCCTTGTCAGTGCATTAGGTAGTATTCGAAACTCGGTTGCAGGCTTAGGAGCAAACGCAGATGTTTACGCTCACGTTGGTACCAATGTAAGTGATAGATCGAATTTCCTTGACTTTGACACAACACTCATTTTGATGCTACTCTTTAGGTCCTTACTACCAATGTTATCGCGTTGTTTGCCAAACTACAAGTCTTACTGCGATTCATTGCTGACTACCAATTGACCTCTTCATGTCATGGTGAGTGACTTAGAGCTTTATTGGCATATATGTAACGTTCTGAAATTACTTTGAAATTTCATCATTCAGTCGCTATCGTCTCTTTACAAGTTCCTCTCAATGCTATTATCTCGGTCGTTGGATCTACTGGTATCGATGTTCATGCTAAATTCTCCGATTCTCCGCCTCCCTCGACTTGAATCTCTTTGCTCAAATTGGACTTGGCTTCGGGTTTGGTGCCATTGCTGGCGCTGGTGCTGGTGTCGGTGCTGGTGTCGGTGCTGGTATTGGTTCTCTGGGTACTCTTGTCGGAGCTGGTACCCACGCTGTTGCGGGAGCTGGTTTCGGTGCAAAGGCAGGTCTCGGTGCAAAGGCTGGTCTCGGTTCAAAGGCTGGTTTCAACGTAGATGCCTCTGCCAAAGTATTTGATGAATTCAAAGCATCAACAAGCGCTGTTGCTTCTTATACTCCAAGCTTCAAGACTGCCTGTGAATCGAAGGACACTGCTGTCCTCAACAAAGGATTAACCACCATTGTGGCTTCGATCTCATGCATTGGAGGACAATCTGATGCCCTCGTCCACGTTACCGCAGATGTAAGCTGACCTCTTTGTACTCAGAGCTTGACCTGATGCTTACCACAAGATGTTTATGTCCCAGGCTCTCTGCTCCCAATATTTTGAGCTACTGATCAAATTACAAGCCCTCTTAAAACTCATCGCCAGCTATAGTTTGACCTCATCATGCCATGGTTAGTATTAGAAACTCTTTAGCTCTCATTATTTTGCTAACTGAAAGGATGGTTTTGTTTTTTATTAGACTCCATTGTCTCTTTCAACAATCCTCTGAAAGTCTTACTCTCAGTCCTTGTCTCAGCTGGTGTTAATGTCGCTGTGAAAGCCCATGCATACGCTTCACTTGACTTAGGCTTCTTTGCTAGTGTTGGTGTTAATCTCGGTATTCAAACTGGCTCTCAAACTTACAGTCGCTAGTAACCCTTTCTTTCATCTTATGGACATTTTTATTTTTATTTCAAGGACAATTATATAACTTTAATATTCATGTAATGCATTGCATCATTCACTCGCTGGAATTGTGTAATCAATACTCGTGAATCTTACTTACTTTGCCGTGTCCCATTTGACCATTAATCTTTGTTCCAAAATGCAGCTGGGTGATCACAGTCACACTGTCAGCGAGCTGGGGTTGTATGTCTTGTATGTATACGACGACCGGATAAAACCGGTACTCAGCTGGGGCTCTCCTGGGTCATGTCAATACAATTATTTGGGACCCCCACTTTGAGCTTTCAACACCTTTGCATCATCCTCGCAGATCAGAGATAAGATGTCGGAGTGCAAGTTGAGTTTAGTCATGATATAATTCAGCGCATGGATCACATTCAGCCTCAGTTGCCAACGGCCTCCCAAGTTTTGACTTACATTGCAGGCTGGTCAATTGCTCTGTTGTTGATTGATTCCCAATTTCCCTTTTGTTTCAGGGCTTGTCTGGTAGAAGAAAGAAAGAAATGGTGCAAAAACCATCCCTCTGTGAGTTGACTGCAGAAAACCATACCAGCGCTCCACAATACCCGCCAATTATCAGATGACCAAGTGCTGACAGTTGGTTGTGTTTGTTACATTTGGCCTATATCTCTGATCATCAATAATGTCAAACAACACAAATGTTGTAGGGCTTCTGGGCTCGGCCCACAAAGAATTCAGATTCTACTCTCAACATGATGCTGTGGGAAGTCAGGATCCCTGGTAAAAAAGGTGTCAGTCGACCTCAATGTTCACATCCGTTACCCTTTCCACCTTCAAAGTTCTGCCAGTGCTGCATACCACAAGTTCAAAGATCATCTTACCAATCAGCTGTATATATTCCAACTTTTTGAACATGTTTATAGACTGATTGGGCCGGGAGAATATACAAGCTTCAGATGATCTTTCTTCAAGGTAAGTGTCACTTACCAAGACCAGTGACAAAACTGTGGATCTTTGGTTTGCGTTTTTGGCTCACTATGGTATATTGCTTGAACAGATTATCCTTCAAAGCCCCCAAAATGTGAGTTTTTCAATTTATATGGATCATCCTATTGCAAAATTGATAGCCCTCAATGTGATATCATGTCCTCTCATTGACATGCTGGATCTATCTTGACAAATATTCCATACATCCACCTTGATCAGGCAAATTTACCCCACCTCTTGTTCATCCGAATCATCTGGCACTGTTTCCTCCCCAATCCTCAATCATGAGATGCGCTGGGAACCAGTGATTATTCTTGAGCAGGTAAGTCCCCCTTGAATCCTGTGATCTATGGGATTTATGCGCCTTTCGCCGGTATGCATCTTCCCATTCATCAGAATTTTGTTATCATTGACTGAAAACACTAGCTCGTGCTGGCTATACAAAACTTACTGACTGAGCCCTACTTTTACAATCCGGCTCAGATTGAAGGTTACAGTGTACACAAAGAAGACCCAGATGCTTACTAGTATGTATCTTACCACTCATCACATTTCTACACCGGAGCACTTACGTGACATTGATGTTCTTCTTTGTTGATGTAGCCAAAAAGTCCAAGAGCAAGCCAAGTGTATGCACCCAACTTGATCACCTCAAATGATCTTCCAACATTTGATTTGAACCTTGCATTATATGTTTTATGCTGATCAATTTTTTCTGTGTGAATCCTGACACCACCTAGGATACAAACAATTGACTTTACTGGGCTTCTAGCCTGCATCTATAAAATGCCACCTCTTTCAAATTTGGATCTAGAGGTGTTTTAATGTAGGAAAGGGAAGCCCAACATGTACAGATCTGTCATAGTCACTCAGATCTTGCATCCAGGTTGCCCACATCAGGTTCAGTTCAACCAAAATACATAGGGTGGTTGACATCAAGATCACCACTAACTAACTCACAATTCCCTGCAAAGCACTGAAACATCTGACCTGCTACTTCACACTATGCAGCCCTAGCTCCTACACTGGTCATTTTTACAATATTTGGAGGCAGTGTAATTTGAAGAATTTACATACTTGGCCACCTTGGCATGCAATGTGAGGACCCATGAATGCACCTATAGAGGTTGGTAATGTGACCCAATTTTGGGCTTTGGGCATGTATACTGTGCATCAGTGCTTGCATCAAGGTTTCAAGCATCTCAAAAGATGCGCATGGGTGAGTGCTATCCAAAAACATGGGTCAGAGCCCTATCACTTGGCTCACTGTGGTGTAAATTGCAAGGCCTCCAAGGCCCACTTCCAACATTCAATTGTTGACTGCTGCATTACAATATCTCAGCAAATAGTAGAGGTACTACAGGTTCAACAAGCATCCTATTCAAGAGGCCCTGTCTAGATGCATATTTTGAACTAGGGGTGTGTGTCTAGTATGGCCCAAGTTATTTTTCAAAGCTATGGATCTGTTTCTTTGTCCAATTGATATTTTCTTGATGAGGCATTTAAAAGAAGTGGGAAATGGTGAGTGACCTTTTGAAACCATACATGGAACAGTTGCTGGTAGCTTTCAGACCATGGCTAGGATGACTGTTTTTTGTACCTCAAAGAATGTACATCCACACAGACAACCTTCTCTCTAGATCAAAAGTAATGAGAAATTCCATTTTGGAATCATCCTCATTCAAACATAACGAACATTTTTCTACACCCTATACTACAACTATCAAGCTCAATGAACATCAACTAATTGTATAAAGAAAGATAAACTCATTAAGGACCAGGCGCAGATTCGAGCGATTTGTTACTATTTGAAGTACATTAGAGCATCCGCACTCGTGCGGTAAATCGAGTGCGGTAAGGTTAAATTTAACGCAACCGCGGGGTCTTTTCCGCACCGGTGAACAATTAGCCCCGCGGTAGTTAATTTTTCATCAGTTTGCATTAGCGAATCGGTAAATCTACCGATTGGCTAACGCATGCGGTAGCACACATCACGACCTGTTCACAGCAACTACAACTCCAAAAACTCAACTCAGCCCAATCTCCAATACCAAAGTCAACAACAAACATCGTCTTTTCACCTCTCTCACCCAGTCACATGAATTGAATCAAGACCTTTTAACACCAATCGATGTTTTTACGATTGTTTTTTTTGTTTTTTTGTTCTAAAATAGGTCGTTTGAAAATCTTCAACTCGACTTCAAACCAATCGAATCAATATGAAGAATTTCAGACTTCACATATGTATAGAGATAGATGAGAAAATTGAATTCTAAAGACTAATGACTGGAAGACTTTTAAGATCAAGAGATACAAACCAAACAGTTGAAAAAAGCTGAATCAAACATTAAAAAAAGTTTGGATTGGTTCAGATTGTTCATCTTTCTTGTGTAGTTTCAAATCTTTATAATTTTCACAAGATCAATAGATGTATTCAAATATAGCCTTTGTTTTCTTAAACTTGAAATCGTACTTGAAAAATTGAATGTTACCTTACTGCATGACCACTGTGGAGCACATGCATTATCGGTAAAGTTACAAACGTTACAGTGCTACTAACACAAACGAGTGCGAAATTTGGCTGAGTTAAGTCATTTTTTGCTTAATGTAGCGGTTGTTACCGCACGTGACCAAGTTAACAACCGCAAACGAGTGCGGATGCTCTTAGAGTGGTTTTTGGCTTTGGTATCAGCAGGAAGGTTAAACTATAGGACGAGTGACAGCCTTGTGGATGTCACTCAGTCACCTATCTAATCCCATGCCTGGTGTTTGAGATACCTCGATGACATGCCGATGATTGAAACTTCATCCTGGCTGCCCGATTTCACCTGCCCCCTTCTACAAATCCTCTTTTACATATTTCAAGTGGGCAAACCCATAGCTATCATTCGTGTCATCTGGGTGAAAGGCACCTTGAAAGCCTCGATTAAAGTGCAGATGAGCACTTGAATCCAGTGATGTGCACTCTAAACCAGTCTCCAAATAGAAAATAGACTGGTTTTTGACGTCCTGCGCAGTTTTCTCATCACGAGATAACAGAAATAGCGATAGCAGAAAAAGGAATAGAAAAGCACCTTCCTATTCCTTCACTAACAAAGGGACTGGCTGCGTAAAAGCCCCCAATGCTGCGTTTGCCCGCGTCATCGGCTGTGTAGATGACGTCGAGCCTCACTGAAACTATAGGAGGCTCGACGTTTTAAAACGAATGTTAAAGTTGATCGGACTGTGCACGACGTCTAAAAGTGGTCCTTTGTCTACTTTGCAAGCGAAAACGTGAAAAATCTGGTAAAACGAGTACCATATCGACAAAATAGTAATAACGAATCGCTCGAATCTGCGCCTTCTCTCTATTGAATCTGCTTAAAACATTCATCCTCTTCTTTAACAATCTGCCAACTCAAGACTCCCAAATCTGTAAACCAAAAATGTTGCATAACTTGAACTTTTGATAACACTTCACCTTTCCACATCTTAATCATTCCATGATGAACTTTTGTCCAATGTTTGACTGTGATTCCAACATTATAAAGAATAGGTGAATGTTCAAAGAATGGACCTTTTTTCAACTTTCGTATATGTTGAATTGCACTAAAGAATAAAGATGAATTTGGTTGAAGGTTTTCTAAAAACTTTGGATCATTGATTTGAGCTGGATTGATCTTTGATTGTTCTAAGAAATTTGGATAAACAGATAAGTTAGAGATCAAAGGAGGATATCAAGAGTTTTTATACAACTTACGCATTAGTTGAGCACTACCAAAGATATAGGCTAAATGAAAATGATCATCTAAACCATAAACTCCTTTACTTCCTGCTGGTTCTAATCTGTAGACTTCTTGAAGCTTTCGACATGTATCAAGATAACGCTGATAGATCACCAAGACAGTTGTAGTCAAGTCTTTTTTTGTAAGAATATCCGTAAGATGTAGGATTGAAAGATAGGCTATGAAAGAGAGCTAAGCAAGCCAAAGATCAGCATTCCTAGTGATTGGGAGAGAGTATGGGAGACGGCTTTACTCACCTCATGACCTGTTCCATAATCTAATCGAATGAACGAACCAAAAGAAGTCTTGAAGTGGTGTAATAGTTCAGGAAGAATGGCTTGATGATCAGAATCGATGATAGGAGCATGAAGAGCTTCGGCTTCCTGTTAATGAGTTTGATTGATTTCGATTCAGATCCCGATTTATATGATATCATAGATCCCATCAAGATGTAGAAAAGCCAACATATTGACCTCTTCTAAACGTCGTCCCCAAACTTTGAAAGCTTTATTCCCAAACCTTTGTGGATCTTGATCTAATGGTATCGTTGAGATCCACTCATCAAGTCGATCAAATATATCACAAACCTTACGAGTTGTCTAAGAACAAAAAGCATACAACCTATCAATCAGTCTTTGTAAAGTGTTTCAAGTCTATCAACTTCCTTAAAAACTGAAAGAAAACTACCGACAAACAAGACTAATGGAATCAGATAACCGAGTCCTTTTTTCTTCATTTTCAATTAATCCGAATTTCGAGACAGCTTCTGACATGTTTACAACCACAGAGATTAATCGATTTAAACCTGCTGATTCAAATAAATGTGTTAAATCAGGGTGATCTGTAATTCTTTTGGTCGGTATTGATGGTGAAAGTTTGGTTGGATCGATGAATGGAATCGCATTTTGATAAGTTGGTCGTCCATCAGGCTGAGTTTCCTCATTGCTAGGTTCCATGACGTCCACTATGTGATGGTTTGCGAAAGATATCCAGTTGATGGTCGATCCTCTACTGAAGTTCAAGAGTTACACCCCGGTGCGTCACGGCCAGCCGAGTTGTATTCCTTACAAATTACCGCATCAAGCTGACCCGGCCTTGACCTTATACTGTAAACCCAGGCATTTCCTAAAGGTCTTCCTAAAAATTGCCACCATCTCTTGGGTATGGAGATATACTATGCCAAAAGAAAAGATAGACGTATTCTCACGAACAATACATGTCAAGCAAGCAAGGTTTCTAGTCACAAAGCTATCAAACATTGCTCCTTGTGCATTGAGCTCTGTGACAAACGAATGACTGCACACTCAAAGCCAATTGAAAAAACCAAGCATGCATTTGCTCATCTAGGCAAAATGTAAAAGATGGAACCTTTTACTTATTTTTCACTTTGAATGCCAATCTCTCCAACATTTATATCCCATGACTGTGGCCATCCAATTGAAAACCCCCTCACCTAGTCTTCTTAATGTTATCAATAAAAAACTATAACTCCAAGTACACACTTAGCCAGAACAATGCCAGAGTGAAAAATAGGTGTATCACTCTGACTGCCACAGTTTTCTCATCAGTACACTTATTTCATAAACCCTTTTCAAGAACAAAACACCCCATCTTGAATCCCTTTACTCAATAACACTACTTTTGAATTTTGTCTCTTAGCTTCAATAAACCAATTTTTTCTTTCCTCTTCTTTTTGAAACCAATGATATATATATATATTAAAAAAAACTCAATTAGAAAACTAGTTTAAAAATTTCATTTTCTTCTATTGATGAGAAAAAAAAACATAACAAATCAAAACAGAAAAGAAAAGAAAATGAAATGGAAGAAAGAAAACCAAAGAGTTTTTTTTCAAAAAAAAAAGAACTTACATGTGTTTGTATGTGATTCAATTATCAGAAGAAGAAGAAAAAGCAAAACTCTAAAATACATCCCAACTCAATCAAAACCAAAACCAAAACCAAAACCCATCAGATGAATTAAACAGTAGCCGTAATCTATAAATCCCAAAAGAAAAAGAAAAAACGTAATCATCAATCTTTAATATCTTAACTTGAAAATGAAAGAGAACGAAAACGAAAAAAAGAAGATATTGCAAAAAAACACGAACCTCATTAGCTTTTTCTAAAGCAGAAATCATCTTAATACATTCTTTTCTTCGATTAACGACCATTTCACTTTCTTTCATTAAATCATCCAAAACATCAGGTCTATAAAGTTCTACAAACCCACCCCCCAAAAAAATCAAACAGATTAAGTTTGATGATTTAAACCCTTTTTGAATGAATTGAAATACCAAAAAAAATTGAATCAAAATCTTACCTGATAATAATTCTCGTTGTAGATCATCTTTTGAATGTGAAACTAATTTAAGCATGATCGCTTTAGGTACCATATCAATCACCGTACGTTTCACAATATTAAAATACGATGAGATCAATACTATTCCCTCGAACCAAACCGAAGCGAAAACCCAAACTCATCAATTCCTTCCTTCCTCTTCAAAGAAGGAAAAAAACACAGAGAGATCAAAAGCATCACTCACATTTAATCACATCCGTTTCAATCACTTCACGTTCCGATAAAACACCCGAAGCCTTAAGAACCTGAGGCGGCGATTCGAGTTGTCCCATTCCACCTTTTTTCCTAGGACCAGGTTGTTGACCACCTTTCCAAAAACTACCAAAGAAACCAGCTTCATTGACTTTCGAATCTACATCTAAATCTCGACCGTTATTGATCGCTCCAGGTGGTAGTTTTCCACTCTTATCAAGTTGAACCGGTGCAGTAGACGGTGGTGGTTTAGAGGCTTCTATCTTTGCGTTTACTAAAGCCATCGCTTTATGTCCACTTATGAAATCCGGATGTCCTGTGTTGATATAAACTGCTTCGGCTGCTACTAGATCTGATACTAATTTATTGGTGGGTAACATGGCTTTTTTATAAAATGCTACTACAACTGAATAAAACCTTTCTTTCAAAGCGGGGTATCGTTTAAACCCTTGCTATAAATTTCGAAAAAAGAAGTGTCAGTCTTAAGAGTTGGTTGGGTAAAACAAAGTATACGAAATCGATCTTTACATTTTTGTTTAATAATTGGGTCAAGATGCGAATTAATTCATCATAAACCAATGCAGAACACTTCAATGAAGGTTCTTCTAATCGTTTAATCTGTTGTTTCACAATCACTTCAAAAGCCGTTGTACCCACGAACAGAGCAGGTGAAGAACCCTACCATCAAACCCCCAAGCCATCATCACATCATCACATGAGTGTTTGGTTCCCTCAACCACACTGATAAGAATGAATCGACTCACCGAAGAATTATAAAGGATAGTCCGAATATCACCATCTTTGACTTGATCATAAGGATCAAGTGATTTAACCCCATTACTAAACAATTCATGAAACACAAAAGCGATTCTTGCACCCCCACTTAATTCATTGATACTCAAATCATTTGAATTTCCATCTATGACTGTTCTAAAATCAGCACAGAATTCTGTGATGATTGATAATACTACATTTGATGAATTAGGTTCTCCAAATTGTCCTCCTAAGGCGGTTAATTCGCTTTGATATTTAATTAAGGATTGTCCGATTTTGTTTTTGATTTCTGGTAATGTATTCCGAATGTGATGCATCAAGATCTACACCGAGAGAGATAAATCGAATTTAGTGAGTTGCAGATTTGGATTGGAGTTAATCATGTATCACCAGATCCAAGACAAGAGACTGACCATATTAAGTTTCTTGGCCAAGAAAGGTGTACCACAATATTGACTCTTAGAACGATAACTAGCATGATTCTCAAAGAAATCCTTTTCATGATCCAAAGCAGCTGTAATCTTTTTCTTCTGATCAATATCTCTTTGACCACGATTGACCACCGGAACATAACCTAACCTAAGTGGAATGATTCGACCTGCCAAGATATCAATCACATCTGTACCAGCATCCATAAGATCAACTTTAGTAAGCACTCCAATCGTTCTAGCCCCTTCAGGATCGACTTCTCTTGCCATCTTCAATCCATCTGAATTAGCTAAATCTGTATTAGCACCTGTGACTGCAAGAATGATCGAATTAGGTTTAGTGATGAATTTAAATAACATATCTCGAATCTGTTTTTCTATATCCCTCGGTTGATCTCCTACTGGTACTTTAGTTAATCCAGGTAAATCGACTAATGTGAGGGTTAAGACGTGTGGTGAAAAGATTCGTAGGTTGATCGGTAAGGGTGAGATCCCGGCATTCTTGCCTGTTTTAGATTCCGTATCTCTAACAATCTCTTCTCTAATCTTATTAAAATCAAAAAACTTTTCACCCGGTACTATTACCAAATCATCAGAATCAAAGTCTCAGAAAACTTTGAAGTGTTTCAACACATACACAGATTGGAAGGGAACTGAAAAAGATAAAGGAAACCTTACAGTGTAAAAATTCACCCCATTCATCTGGGTTTTGATTCGTATCTGCACCAGGTACTAATGGTTTATCAGAAGGAGGAGTTTCTGTTGTATCTGTTGTTCCATTAGTAGGAGATGATCCAGGAGGTTTGACCGATGCTGGTCTATTAATCAATTGTAAGACCAATGGTCTACGTGTCACAATTCCAGCTATCAAAACCATCAAATTCATTCAATCAGCTTCTGGTATGATATCTCGATTTAGATTGTAAAGTGATTGGGTGTTGACTAACTTCCTCTTGGTAAGAAATCACGTCCTACTAAGTTTTCAAGTACAGATGATTTTCCAGAAGATTGTGAACCAATCACAGCTATCTGTGGTAAATCAATTGGATTTGAAACTCCGACCTTTAAATGCACCAGAATCAAAAAGAACAAAAGAAGTTAGTTTTTGATTTTGATGGGTGTTTTGAAAACATAGACACTAACAGAAGCAAATGCGTCTTGTAATTTATTGATTGTTTTGATCAAGCCTTGATCCATGGCCATCTTGATTGTAGTCTTGATTTGATTAGATAGTTTGCTTTTGTATTAATGAATAAAATGGTAAAGTTGAGATTGTAGTTGAAGGTGTTCTTGTGTTGGTTTCTTGTTGGTTGATCGATTGGAATGAGAGTGATGATCATCAAGATGTCGATTGCTTGACAACTGTAGCATACGTATCAGACTTGTGATATGTCTCATGATGCGATTACACATTACATTAATACATAGTCACTAGTCACGTGTCAAAATCATCAAGATATGTAAAGCCATATCCTTCCATAAGTATGACATCATCAAACATCCTCAAAAGAAATCAACCAATCAGAAAACAAAAGGTTCTTTGAATCAAATTGCCGTTAACCGTTAAAACTTGAAACCGTATTTTGATGATACCTTCCAATTGCTTTAATTCCTCAAGTCCCATCCACTTTTGCAATATATACCATGGAAAATTCCAAAAAGAAAGCCAACCAAATCCCAAATATGTGATACATTGACAAGAGAAACAGAAGAAGAGTAAAACATGAATGAACCATTCAGTTTCAAGACTCTCTAGTAACAGTACTGCTGACCAATAATTTTTGTTACTACTACTAGTGTGTTCATCAAGCAAGCTAACTGAAAATTTGAAACAGAGCTGAGGGACCATTGGGATTTGGATTTGATGATGAGCCTACACTGCAAACATCAAACAACTTCCCATCAATTGAGCAAGGGGGAAATGATTAGAAGTATAATTGATCATAAAAGGTTTATCACTACACACCTGAGCCGTAGCACCCACACAGTACACTACATAGGTGCAGCAAGATGGGTGAATTGTGAGTTATTATGTCCATACAGATCTTCTCAGCTATTGGCTCATCTGAATGAATAAAACATATGTAATACCTTCTCTAACCTTTCTCAGTTTGGCAAATACATTCCAAAAATTGACTAAATGCATTGACTCATAGTTTGGGTGTAGTTCCATTAATTAAACTTCATCTAACACCTGTTCTTTTACTATCAAATGGCTTCCAGAGTATTGCCTGGGTAGCTCTGAAGGTCTATGTAGTCAAATCATTGGGAGGATTTTGTCAAACTGGAAGAAGGGACATGATGTGTGATATGTGATTTACTTATTCAGATGAGCAGGGAACTAAGCAGACCTGTGTTTCCCCATGCTCAGGTTTTGTAACCACTCAGTTGGACCAAGTGAGTGTGACTGGTATCAAACCCTGGTACCATGCTTGTTTCCTGAAGTTGAATGAATACATAAATCACTTGGAGGGGACTGTACATGGTACCTAAAAATTTACCCATCTTGCTGCACATATGTAATGTGGGTTTTATGGCTCAAGAGTATGCAGTGATCAATCCTTTATGACCAATTATAATTCCCACCATTTTGCCCTTGCTCAATGGAAGGGAAGTTGTTTGATATTTACAGTGAGCTTAGTACAGCATGATCATCAGTTCTACTATAAGGTAAGAAGACTTAAATCCTAATCATAAATACTACTACTAGTTAGGATCACATACCAAACTTTATGATGAAGAATCTAAACTAGATCTTTCATGCGCATCCAGTTGAATAAAATCAAATCATATTGATAAATAAAACTAATGAAATAGAATGTTGAACCAAATCCTAATTCATACGCATAGATGCATATACCATGTAAGAAAGTGCAAGACTCTAGCTTCAATACCAAGTACAATGCCTCTTTTTATAAAAAATCATCAAAAAACTACTAAGAATCTAATCCTGTTGAGTCTAATAAATCAAAACAAACTGATCTGATTTTTTTGTCTTCCTTTCCATTCCCTTACCATTTGACCTTTCTTTTCTTTCAAGATCCAAATATATATCACTAAACCCATCCCTCTTAATACAAAAGTCAACCAGCCCCTTTTATCCAATAAAAAACCTATAAATGTGCAATCAAAACAAAAGATGAGAAGGCAGTCTAAAACTCAGTTCAATCAAAACCAGAATCCAAACCTGTCTCCATGATCATCCCGGTTCACAATACTTAGACCCTCTAATCTTATTCCTGGATCCCAGACCAAAAAAACCTGATCCACCAATTCCAAACACACATGTTCCTGATACCCTTAAATCTACACACATTTAAATTACAAAAAAATAGGAAAATAAATAATATCAAACAAACCTATGTAACCAAACCAAACCAGAAACCTCAAAACGTTTGAACAAACCAAGCTCAAGAAATAATCGAATTCATCTTTCTATCTCTTTCCATTCCTTAAAGCTGAGGGATCTCATAATTGTAATACCAACCCACTCACTCAGACCCAATCCATACCCTTATGATTTGATTTTCAAACTGTACAGAGTCACAAGTAGTACAAACCAAAACCAATCCAAAGCAACAAAAAACCAAACTTTTTCTTGATTATCACCAAAGTAGGATTTCTTTTCTAAATCACCAGTGAAGTAATTAAGACTAGTGAAGAAGAAGGTTTGGGGTTTGGTTGATCATTTTAATAAGATTGGTGTTCAACAGTTTTCTCAGAGTGCAGGTTTGTCTCTCACTCTCACTTATATCTTTGTTTCCTGGCTACATAATTTAGAGAATACAGATACCAGGAGGTGCTCTGGTGCTCTATTTGAGACCACCGCCTTTATTTCTTAAAAAGCTTGTAATCAGCTCTCTAGACTGGCCCCTTATGTGGGATAGGCAAATTGATGAAATACAGCATCAAAGGAGGCAGTCAAGTCTTACACGGAAAGCTGGGTTTAGTCAAATCCTTCTTTTATATTTCGTTTGTACACACTAACTTTGAAAATATTTCATAGATTTAAAATTAGTTTTGATTTTAATCAGATCTGATCAGTTTCGTTGGTCACCACAACTTTTTATTTCTTATGATTCTTTTCCTTTAGATACGATTAATTTAATTGAATCCAGTTAAAAGAAAAATTCCAAACCCAAGTACTGCTTTTTTTGTTTTTTTGGTTTCTCCTCTTGTATAATCTTACTTTCCTTTTTACAGATGTTTGGGTGAAAAACAAAAGGGTTTAGATTACTTTAGTATAAAAAATAAAAATGTGATGGAAGTAGTGAAATGATTCTAATATATATATATTGCTTTTTTGAAAACTTCTTTTAATGATCAAATAAAGAAACTTATGGTAAAAGATCGAAGAAAAAATCTGTTTCTTTTTCTAAGATGTAGCCATTATGATTTATATACAGCTGGTCCTGTTAAGCTTGGACCAGTCAGATTTGCTTTTGCTGTTTCAATATTTTGTATTTGCTTTTGATTTTGTAAAAAAACAATAATTAGTGACTTTCATTGGTGGTGGATGTGTTATTGAGTCTTTGGTGAGCACAGCAATCCGATGTTGCAACAAAAAAACACTTTCATAAGCCCATCATATTTCTCTCAATATGGTAATATGAACCAGAAGTAACCAACTGGTACCATTACTAAGCACTGGTGTCACTTGCGTGAGATATTCAATGACGTAGCACTGATACCAAATTGAATTCATCCTCATTACCACCTCAATTTCAGTTCCCACTATCTCGTTCTCAACTTCTCACCAAGATGCCCAAAAAGGGCAAAGAGAAGAAAACTCATACATCCTCTGATGAGAACTCTGAACGTCCTTCTTCCCCTTTTTATGATTCTGAGATTGAAGTTGAATATGATTCTGATGTTGTGATTGAATCATCAAAGAAGCCTGTTTTACCTTGTAATTTTTCTGAAGCAAAGCCAGAGCTTCATTATGGCATACCAGCCAAACATAAGGAGGCTTTTCATAGGTCAGTGGTCTTTCATTTGTACTTCGTTTCTATGTTTTCCAAACTGACTCTTTGAATAATGTTGGATACAGGGTTGATGACCATAGCTTGATTGGTAAGGAAGCCCAACCAGCTGCAATTCGCTCTTCCAGGTAAGATTTCTCCTTTTCATTCTTGATCCTTGTTGATTGATCTGAGTCTGACATTGAAGACCATGAATTTTTAACACCAATATCAGTACTCGACCTTCTCAATTACCTTGACCTTCTCAATTACCTCGACCATCTCAATTACCTCGACCATTTCAATCATCCCAAGTAGCACGACCACCACGACCACGAGCAAAGCCAGCAAGAAGACCATCTCATTGGAGCGACTCTGACATAGGTTTGTCTATTCATTTTGTAGCTACTGAGGATTGAAAGTCTCATTTGACCAATCAAACTCCTTTTCCATATGATATGCAATTAGAACCGGTGATTGTTGCACGTAAACCAAAGGACGACTCCATCAAAGTCCCACGAGTTGAAAAAGAAGAAACCGATGTTGATGTGAAAAGAGAAGGTGCTGCTTTCAAACCAGTAGTGTCCAAAGACGATTATTCTGCAATCCTTCCAGAAGATATATTAAAGGTCAGTCTCTTTTCGAATCAAATCATTATGAATTCCATCTTTTTGAACTGAAAGACTTGGTTGTGTCTTCTTACCAGAGTCCAAGGCACTGGGAGTCCAACACTGAAGTCATGCACCATCCACCGGAGAAACTATCTGAAAAACGAAAACTCAGGGTCCGAACCAAGACCCAAGTCCTTGCTGAAAACACAAGTCCCGAAGATACAAGTGGCGGAGAGGAGGTTCACAAGCTGGTTTCTATTTGGGTAGGCTACGAGATCTTCCAGGAGAAAGAACCGAAAGAAAAACGGACTCCGGCATCTACATCAAAGAAATCAGCTGCTTCTCCGGTCTACAAAAAGGTTTTGAGCACCTTCAAAGGCTCAATCAAACATAAATACTGCTTCACTGTAAACCCCTCCAACACCAGCCCAGCAGAGTTCAAACGCCTTGGAATGATCCAGGTTGACAAATATGTCCCTGATCTATCGATGTATCTCACCGATCCACACCCACCAAAGCAGCTTTCGTGGATTGCTACAGCACGAACCATCAAACGAGCTGGCCCATATTATGACATCGATCAACCCGATGAATGGGAAGAACTAATTGAGGTAGTCAAGACTCTTGGGTCGACTCAATTTGTCAACCTCACCTTAAAAATGCCTGATCCCTCGCTTGTCCAACAAGCTCAAGATGAAATTGCTGCGCAAGAAGCATCAATGAAAGCTTACAAGAAAAGAAAAATTGACGAAAGTGGGAATCAATCTAGAGAAGTGGAACTTCCAGTATCAGGCTCAGCCAATGAGCGCTCTGAGCTTATCAGCTTGATACTTCGTCAACACCGAAAGGGCGACAATTCAGTATGCTATGATCACAACAAAGCCAACTTTTTTCGAGTTACCGGTGAAAAGGCCAGGATATGGGCCGATATCATGGTCAGTAAACCAAAACCCTCACATATGATCCCATAAAATCAAGCATATATCTTACGCTAGAAGTCTTTGCTACAGATCGAAAACAAACGTACTGGTCGCAATGATGTGACTTTGACTGTACCACCTAAAACTGTGGCTTTCCGGTTCCATCCAAATGGTGTATCTCCACTTGATGAGATTCGGGATGCGAAAGAAAAAGAAAATCAACCCGATCCTTCAACTATTGCACCTGTTCCAGCTTCAACAAGCTCACTAAACGACTCAATCTCAGACACAGATGAGCGGCTCTTCAGAAGCACCAACTGCGGGAGTTTTGAGGATTTCCTCTTGTTTGCACTCATCGATCCTGATGACGAAGATACTCGGACTAACCTTCGCCTCCAAGGTTTCAACCATTGGACTGATCTCCGGGCAAATGAAGCCAAAGACTTCAATGTGAAAACCTTGGTTTCAGCCAAGTTCCAACTTGCCATTGCCAGAAAACTTATTTCAGGTGCTGCAAGATTTGGTCAACGAGTCAGAGACTCAATTCGGAAGGGATTTTTTGAACCAATTCAACGTTGATTTTGACCTTCAGCTCTGCTACCTTTTTTCAAATCCTGCTCTCAGGAATCTCAATAAAGATTTTCAGCTCTTGTGATCTTTTGTTCTGTCATTCTGTACTCATAGCCTACCTGATGTACTCTACAGTTGACTACTCCCAAAATGGATTGTTGTATCCAATCAAAATTGTCATTTGAAATTTATGTGTTGAATTATTGCTCAGATTGAACCAATTGCAAATACAATAAATCATTAGAACAAATAATTAAAAAAATTAAAGACTCGATTGTCTAAATCTAAATCTACCATCTCTTTCTCACTTTGAAACTGAATTGATGGATCCAACTTTAAAGCCTTTCCCGAGATTAATGAAATCCCATGTTCAAGTTCACTACAACTGATATAAACCAATATCCTTTGATCTCCTACTTCATCTTGACTTACTAATGGAAATCCTCCAGCTGAACTTGAAGAAGATAAGAATTCGATTTTTTGGATCTCTGGAATCTTTAATCGATCTTCTAAACAAATCGACATTGCTTCTGAATCCATGATCTGACTTGATCTTTCGGAATGAAGATGTGATGATTTCGCTTCCAAGTATGGTAAATCTGATGCTTCAATTACCAAATCACTGAATTATTCAGTACTCATTTCTCTCTTTTCCATCAGTTTGTTCCCAACTTCATCTTCTCCTGCTTCCATTTCTTTACTTTTTAACATATTCAAGGTCGATGTGGCTATTAATCCATCAATACTTACACCATCTCTATGAAGTTTTGCAGAATGTTCAGGTCCATTTGAAAGATGATATTTTAATCCAGCTATTGATATTTGGTTTCGTGAATTGAAAGGCGAAAAAATCATCATCGGAATGAGACATCAAATCTTTCAGTAAATGAAGATACAAAGATTAAAAACTTCATAGGTGAAAGATTCCTGACTCACATGTTTGTTGATACCTTTTTTCACATCCTTCAATCGGACACAGATATTTTCTTGCTGCATTCTTTTCATCAGATCGATTCGATCTTCTACTTTTCCCACTAGGTTTTCTCTTAATCGTCGGAGTGGTCGTAGTAGTAGGAATAGGATTACTGATCGTAGTTACAGGTGGAAGATGATGTGGTTGAGTAGTAAGATTAGAATTAGGTAAAAGATTAAGACCCGTTGGTCGACTACTACTAATTGGTCCTCTTTGAATTGGTTTTTGTTCTGATTGTAAATTCCTAACTCTTTCTGAAGTCACGGGATCTGTAATAAAATGATTGGTTGCTGTTTCTATAATTTTTTAAAGAAAAAGTGGACCATGGTAAGGTTTTTGTTTGACCTATAGAAAACCAAAGGTACATACGAATGTGATAGCGAATTCCTGCGATATTCTAAAATCAAGATACGAAATCATTCAGAAATCAACCTCTTGGCTAGAAAACGAGAATAATGATAGACAAGAAAGCTTACCTTCCAATCCCTCATACAACCATCCATAACACACATAAATGGATGTTCTAATGGATCAGTTCCTCTGAAACTTTCATGAGTTTCTCTCCAATGTGATAACAATTCACCACAAGTGTTAAACAAGATTCTAGGTCTTTGATCACAACAAGCTCGATATGCACATGCATAAGGTTTTAAAGAATCTTATTGAGATTGATCAAAGACTTACTAAATCGATTGACTCTCAATCACATCAGCTGTTGTTTTAGCTACCAAGACGCTAATCGCAATTGGTAAGACATAAACCAAACTACCTGTAAGTTCCATCACTAAACATTTTCAAAGAAAAAAGTGTATCGGAATCGATTTTGAGAGTTCCATTCAAGATCAACAAACTTTACAAAATACCCAAATACAATCTCGGATTTCAGGTGAATTCATTTTTGACTGATCTTGATTTTTGGTCTTGACCACATTAGTGGATTCTGGCGGTGATGACAAAATGGGTTGAAAGTTTGTGAAGTGAAAATCGAGATCAGCTCTTCAGGCTGATATTGAGGCACCAAAGACAAGAATTGAAGGAGTAGAAGATAAACTTAAATCTACACAGACTCTGGATGTGAAGGAGATCGCTTTGGAGTACTTGGATCAGGCTCGTGTGGAATTGAGGGTTTTGAGAGAGTTGATGACGAATGTGGAAAGTGAAAAGGAGGAAAGATAACTTGAAGAGATGTTTATTGTGTTACAAACAGTTCAGTACTGCTACAAATAAATTGACCCTTTGTATAGGCTCCTAACCAGCTTTCGGGTAATGACATCTTCAGTTGTAGTGTAGATTATTTCCGCTTCTTCTTCAGGAGTGAAGTCCCCTATCAAAGCTTGAGTTCAACACAAGCGGCTCTTTATTACATTGAAGGCCTTCTCGATCGGATTGAATTCCGGGCTATATGGCGAAAGATATAACAATCTCACACCAAACTGATCACATAGATTTGCAACTTCACCACCATGATGTATTGGAGCATTGTCAAGGACCAAGCAGCTATTATTCTCGGGCCACGGGTTCATCATAGGTAGCTAGTTTACAAGATCGAAATGATTGAAGTCCAGTCATTTTGAGTGAAATTGGGTTGGATTGATTAAGATTGAGTCAGAGATTGAAAGGTTTTATGATGTATCAAAGTTGTTGAAAAGGGATTAGGGGTGACACAGGGAGTTTTAACAGTTGGATTCATGTCAGTGAATGTTCAAGACCTAGAAGCAAAGAGATGGAGACCTGATTTTGCAAGAAATTCATACCAGATAGTCTTCAAGATACGCTTCAAAGTCATGTCGCTTGAAAGACCCCTCTTTGACCTGAAGAGCAAGACATCCGTCCATTGAAATTGCTGGTAACGTTGTGAATCGAGCTGAGCAGATTTCTCGTTCGAGTCGTTTGGTCCGGTGACCGCGCTTAGATCGAGCATACTTGCGATAAAGCCTTTGTTTGGCTATGGCACTCTCATCTGAGAAAAGTGAGAATGTTAGCAGCTGAAAAAGTAAAGATTGAGTGATAAATCAATAGAACAGCTAACCTATGAACACCAGACACTCAGGTCTAATTCTACTGACCTCATCAACATATTCACCTTGACGAATAGCAGATTGCTTAGGATGCACTGTGCGAGCAATCTTGCGGGTCAGAACAAGACGATCTCGAATCTCAATAGCTAGAGCCGAGATTGAGATGGAAGTCCCGGTTTGCTCCAGAAGACGTGTTGCCACCTCGTCAAGATACAATGTGGGATCATCCTCAAGCATCTCCTCGATGAAATCACGCTCGGTGTTCGAAAGGACTGTGGGTGGGCCTCGTGTTTCGTAGAATTGCGGATCAGCAAGCACTGATTGGGTTGTCAGAAAGAGGTGGCGCCATCGGCTGAGTGACTGGCAAGAGATCTTGATGTCCATACGATTGTTGATTGATTCAAGGCCAACTCCGTCAAGGGAGAGGCGGACAGCGATGACTTTGATGTCAGCTGAATACTTGACATAAACCATGATGGTGGATTTGATACAAGATTGGTGAAGACGAGAGAGGTGATTTGTAGCAGGGTATGGCGGCTAGGCCAGTTCTCAGTTGCAGATCTGCAACTGAGTCAGTAGCACCAAGCCTCAATCTGTCACATGTGTGAAAGGACTACTCATGACAGGGATGAAAGGTCACACGCAACTGGCTGATATAAAAAAAAAGACACAACATGTTGTGTATAACAAATCCATTTTTTCTAAAGAAATGGGTTAAGGTGCTTATGGACTATTCAAGGAAAAAAAATAGCCCATAAGAGTGGCTTTTGAACCTTTTTGTGCATTTTCAAAAGCAATTACAAAAACACAAAAGGGCAAAAACAAAAGGCAGAGTCCAAGCTTTCAAGGACCAGCTGTATGTGAAAAAATGATACAAAGATTTGATTCATTTTTGAGATTTTTTCATCCTCTTTATATGATCGTTAATAAAATACCTTTTTGTTGATCAAAATCCAAAATCCAAAAAATATTCATTAGATTTTCACTGGATCAAAACAAAAAGCAAAAGAAATCCGAAAAAAACATCATTTTGACTTACTTGGATAAAATCGATTCATCCATGAATTTAGCACCTTCGATTCTACCCAAACATTTCTTGGATTGACATTGACAACTGATTATAGACGAAAGGAAAAAACAACGAGAATCAGTTTTAAAAGATTTCGACTTATTTTCTTTGACCAAAAGAAAACGGTGCTTTGGAAAAATTCGGTTTAAAGATGATGTTTTGATGAAGCAGAAAAAGAAAAGAGAGAATGATGAACTTAACTCAAATGGTTGTGTCATTTCCCACTCAGTACTAAAATAAGCAAAAGTCAAAGGCTAAACCCCAACCCCAAAGAAAAAGAAAATTTCAATCATGATCCAAAAAACCAAAATAGAGTCGAAAGAAATCAACTGACTTGACCTTTTTTAATTTCACACAAAGATTTTAAAACCCATTGATGTTGATCTCTACCCACGATTCCGTTTTCCAAAACAAAAGATACATTCGGTTCACAGGAATGGTTGATGTAAACTAAATCTGAATTTAATTCTAGGTGAATTAATCGATCTGTTGGGGTTTCTTCTTTGAATTGGATTGATGTGTATGCTTTTGTTTCGGTGAGCTTTTGTAAAAGAAAAAACAAGAAAACGGATTAGGTTTTTAGGATGGGAGAGGTGAGAGGTAAAGAGGTAAAGAGGAAATGGTAATGGGGTAAAGAAAGGTAAACTAGAATTACTATAGTTTCGGGTCCTAAAGTGGCCAGAATCGAATCAGGAGCAAAAGACTATTAATTCAAAAAGAAAAGTGTTTCCAAGTAAGTTTATACAAGAATAGCCATCATCAAAACCAAAGATATGTGATTTTCTATGTATAGCATCGATGCAAGAATAAATCAAACTTACTTCTAATGAAATTAATCTAGATGCATATGTACCTTCTGGACCCCATTCGATTTGAAATTGATCAGGATGAGAAGGAGTATAATTAATTGCATTCATCATCATTGTCATTTCCCGAAAAAAAAGGAAATAAGAAATGAAGAAAGGCTAGATTTAAGAGAGTTTATTGAACTTGGATTTTGGTTTTTAAGAAAAAAGAAGTGAGATTAGTTTCTAAAGGTAAAATGAAAAGATGATGAGATTTGATGAATTGAATTTGGTAATGATTTGTCAAATGAAAAAGATGACGTACTACTACTACTACCAAGAACAATTCAACTGAATCAAATTCAACACGGTTTCACAATTCATCATTTTCATCACCTCATCCCAACGTCGAGTCTTATATTTATACCCTTCTTTTCGGATCAAATTCTTTCACATCGGTTCCTTTTTCTTCTTTTCATCGGTTTAGAGATCACAAGAAAAAAAAAGTGGTGGTGGAGATGTATGTATGTACATATGTAGATCAACCCATCGGTGTGGATTCTGGTGCTTTTTTTTGATTGTAATCATAAGATGATGATTAATTTTGATACTACATGTATATGTTCTAAAGCTTATTCTTCAAAAAGAACACTATTGATTCTGAAATCCAGATTGATTTAATAGAATACTATATCTTTTTTTCTTTGGATATGATCTGTTAAAAGAATCCGGTTTCTTTTTTCGGTCTTACTCAAAATATTCAATGATTTCTTTTACCTTCTCGTTCGATTATTTTGGGTTTCTTTCATCACTTCAGGGTTTTTTTTCTGGCAATGGTGTGTGCAGTCAATTTAGATCTATTTAATTACTTTTTGCTTTCATCTAATGATGTTTCTTTGATTCATTCAAACAAGTCTCGACCGATTGAGAAACACAGAGAGAAGTTTAGAACTACAGATGAAGAGAATTTAGATTTCGGATGGAAGTGGAGAACTGAAGAAAGGCTTTGTCATCAGATCCGATCAGACTCTTGGTCTTGAGTCTTGGTGTTTTTGTAAGTGGTGAGTCATTAAGGTTCGGTTTGTTAAGATTAAGTTTTTAAGGTAGGGTTTGGTCTGAGATGGTTTTTTGATTTATTTTTTTTCACTTGGTTGATAACAAATGTGTGGACGAATATCATACAGTTTTAGTTAGTTTTAACCACTTCGAAGTTCTTCGCTTTTTGAAGAATTCAATTGAATTTAAATTTGAAATCCAATCTGAGTCCTGACAAAGAAGTTAACAACAACCCAAAGAAATTCTTCGGTTCGAAATCACAAATCACACCACGAGATCGGATACAACCATAGCAACTCATCATCGTCATCATTCCACTTTAGTTTACTCAGCCATTAAACATTCAAAGCATCCATCAAGACTGAAGACCAATCGACTGTTCTTCGAATCTTGAAAAGCCAATCATGATGAATCCAATCCGATCAAACTTACCTGTTCCATCCTCACCTACACCTTCTATTTTATCATCTTCTGATCATTCATCATCACACAAACCATCGATTCCATCAAGACATACATCCAGTCCAACTAAACCTAACCAATTCTCTCTTGATTATCTTTCACAAAAACCAAATCCGATCCGAACTCGAATCCCCATCTGTGACATCATCTCATTATTTAATTCCAATGCTTCTACTACCACTACTTCTACTACTTCATTACCTTTGAATTCTTTGAACCAAATCATGACACCGTCGTTATCTATTTCTTCTGGGTCTTCTGATTCTTCTTCTGGCTATAGTGGTTCGATCAAATCGATGATTTCTCAAACCAGTTCACCTCATTCTACTCCTTGTAGATCAAATACTCCTTCTTTACACCACGAACCGGGTTATGAACTCGATATGAACGAAGACTTGATCAGTACAAGCTTTTTTAACAAACCTCGAGAAAAAGAACAAGAAAAAGAAGGGTTGAAAGCTTGGACTGATCCGGGACACGGCTCTCGAAGGGTTCCTTATACATTTACGAACCTGAATAGTTCAGAACCTGATTTCTTTCAGTGTTTAGGAACAGAAGGAGGAGCAGGAGGGATTAGGAAAAGATCCACAAGTACTTTGGGATTGACCCCTCCTCGGTTGCCTCCTAGACCATTATCATTCTCATTTTCAAAACCTAGATCTCCTCTTCTTCCTCCTCCTTTACCTCCTAGGAAATTAGGAACAGATTGGAAATTGAAAGAAGTTGAGAAAAAGAAAGAATCACTTGGAATCGATCGGAAAAGAAAAGTCGTGGAATCGGTTTGGGAATCGGTTCAGATTGATGGATCGGTTTTGGGAATCTTGGTTAGGAAGATTTGGTTGGGATGTGGGTTGGGTTTGGAAACACTTGCTCAGATTTGGTTTGTTCTGATTTCTATTTTCTTGAGCTTTTTTTTGTAGTCTTTTGAAGGGTTTGAGGGGTTTCTTTGATATTGATTTTTTTTGTTTTTTGTTTTTTCGTAGGGATTTAGTCGTTAAAGGAGATTCCAGTGTTAAAGAATTGGATTATGATCAATTTGTTTTGGGATTTCAATTGATTGATCAATTTCTTATAAAAAATCAAAATCAATTACAAAATCAATCAATTTCACAAAATCAATTTCAAAAACAATTTCAAAATCGATTACAAAATCAAAAACAAAAGTATTGAATCATGCGCTTTCTTGGCTTTGTTTGTACTTGATTTGATATGTTTTGTGGTGAAGCTTTTGGGTTTTTCGATTTGATATCCACCGTTTGGTTTTCTCACTTTTTTTATTTGTTTTGCTTTGTTTGTTTTGCTTTTCTCATGTTGATTTATCTATTCTGCTTTACATTATTCTGCTCTATTTATTTTGCTTTATCTATGTTGCTTTTATCTATGTTGCTTTAAATTATTTTGTTTTATTTTGATTGATTGATTGATTGATTCTATATTTAGTTAACTTATAAATGAATGTTCATAAGACCTATTTCCTTGGTTTATCATCATACTTTTTCTCTTACTTTTCATTTTTTTTCCATTCATTCATTTAACCATTTTGCATTTTCTTTTTTCGTTCTTTTTCTCGTTTTTTTGGTCTTTTGTACTTTTTTTGTCGGGGTAGTGGAAATCGGTTTCTTTGAAAATGTTTGGGTCTTTGGTTATATTGATTTTTTTATGAATTTCATTTGTTTGGTGCCTGGTTAGGTGGTGCCTGGTTAGGTATTATCTCAAGCCAGGTTTTTATGGTACTTTATTCGCAGTTATCTGAGTTTGTGTTCTGGAGACGTGTGGGTTACATTTCATTGCAGATCACAGCATACCTGGGCTCCAACAGTAGGTTGAGCCTGTTTGGTATAAAGTGGGCTGTTTACCCCTTCATGTGTGGGCATTTGAGTTCTCATTCCAGGCTGCTAACACATCAAGCAAGGAGGTGTCACACTTGTCCTTATTGAACCACTCAAATTCAATCCAACTTCCCAGTTCACAAACCACCCAAAATGATAATGAGCAGTGCCAGTGGTTAAGTTGTCACAAGAGGGTAAGTGCCATTTCATTCATAGTCTCTTATGTTCGTCTCTTCCCTTCCTTTTGAGAATTCATGTTTGATGATGACCATCCTCTCTTTGATTTCATGCACAGCTGTTGTGCATTTTACTCACTGATTTTCCTTCTCCTCTTAAGTTTAACTCATCATCCAACACTCAAATCAACAATCTTCATTTTTTTCACAATATCGAAACCTGGACCTAAGGCTTTCACATTACCTTTCAAAAAGGTTGGGTAACACTTGTGTTCCTGATTTTCTTTGTACTGTTATGTACCATTCAATCAATCAAATCCTTACTATTATACAGTATATACTTGTACTCCTTACTGGTGTTTATTTTCATACCAATTTTAAGATCTGCTTTTTCGTTTGGAAAGATATCACTGGTTGTAAAGGTTTACTTGGTCAGCTTTAGTAGGATTGTGGGATGTTTTTATTGGTTAGTTTGTTTAGCTTTGAATTTCTTAAGCTTATGATGGATTTGATTTGGTTCTGGCAATAAATTGTGATACAGACGATATTTGAAAAGGTTTCTTGAGCTGATCCAAGTTTTAAGTCTACCAGACCCAAGATGTGTATCAAATCCTCTTAATTTGATCCTTGTTTCATTAAGGAAAACACTAGAAGTTGAACCAGAAGTTTGAAACCTTTAATTATCTAGATATCATAATCTACAGATAATTCAAACTTGTGAGCCAATTTCTTATCCAAAAATATCAACTCAAGATAATTTTTTAGAGATGTTTGGATGTAGAGGTGCTTACTCTTAGTTTTGAATATGGTTTGGAAAGGATTGGTTTATAAGATTAACAAGAAAAATAATGAACCTGGTATGATTGGTATAGAGAGTCTCAATTGATTTTTTGAATTTGAATACCAAGTTGAGAATTGGTAAACTTTTTTTTTGTCACTTATAAAAAACCAACAGCAAAATCAATTTCTTGTAAAAAAACAACAAATTCAATTTCTTATCCAAAATCAAAATCAAAATCAAACTTGAGCAAAAACAAAAATATTGAATCATTGGCTTCTCTGGCTTTGTACTTGATTTGATATTTTGGGGAGAAGGTTTTGGGTTTTGGGTTTGATATCCACTGTTTGGTTTCACTTTTTTTCTTATTTTTGATTTCATTTGTTTTGCTTTGTTTGTTTTGATTTTCTCATGTTGATTTATCTATCTTGTTACATGACATACAAGTTGCTTTATCATTATAACAGATCAGAAGATCATGTTTGATTGGCCAAAAAGTGAGGGTTTGAAGCATATGAAGGCAATTAGCTCTGGAAGTTGGTTTCTGAGCTTCAAAATTCTACTCAGCACCAACAATTAGCTATGGACCTATTTCATGAAGAGATGAACTTTCATCTTTGTATCATTAATTATGATAAACTACAAATCAACAAAGGTAAGGTGGTTTCAATTGGTGAAATTCTTCCGGTGGACCCAATATTCACATTTCCCTGTCTCTATTAAAATTCTTTCTCTCCAAATATAAATTTATTTTATATTTGGTCTGAAGGTATAGTTTACCGCAAGCTCAAAACGGTTGGGTTGATTAAAATCATCAAAGCCCCGGGCCCTAGCTTCAGATCCCTCTCAGAACTTGAACAGAATGATAAATTCTTGGTATCACAAAACAATGGAAAACCATGTAGGCACACTATTCATGTGACGGTCAAGAAATAAAAGCTGCATTGAGAGAAATTTCCAAGACTGGATCATATTCTTGTTATGGAATGATATGTACAGATCCATAAGACTTACCCTCTTACACCATCTTACCTTTGAAGTTTGAGAATTGTGGTAACGTGAAGCCACCCGGTGAGAGGAGAGGAGGAAAATTAAAGCACTTGTTCCTTTTCTCTTTTACCATTCTCCTGTTGCGTACACAATGTACGTCTTCATTTGAAAAGAAATTGCGTTCATAGATAGGATTTCAAGCACGTATAAAAATTGACATGATGACAAGAATGTTGACTTTCAAATATAAACATCAATCAATTGCTGATCTCAAGCTGGAACATTATTAAGCTGGATAATGACAGCCTCAGAATCTGTCACAACAATAGTTAGTAAGCTCCCTTGGAGCTTGGCTGTTTCAATTGGCTGGGAACCTATGATTTTCTCGCAGGTTTGGGGGGAAAATTGAAGACCACTGATATTAGGAGTCTTGTCCGCCGTATCTGAGCGCAATTCCGAACTACTAGCTTGCAATCTCAAAATTGGAAACTCCTGATTCGAAAGCTGCAAGCCTGAGAGATCTAAATTCATGGTGACTATGGACTTCGAGCCTTCAGGACGGTAGCGCGAATTGTAGAGCAAGATTCTGACCGGGTTTGAGTGTTGAGTGAGGAGATAGGCCCCATAAGGACTCTTACCGTCATCAAGTTGAGAGATACCATTGATTCCATTCAAGGCTTGAGCGGCAAAATAAGCTCCGTAGTAAGGTGCACCAATTGAGAATTTCCCCCAAAAGGAGTATTGACCTGAATCAAGTTTGCGTCAAGAGGTTGAATGAGGGAGTTCATTCGGACAAAAATCATGATTCACTGTTTCCAAGTGTTCCGTGATGAAAATAGAGAGATTGGATTCCAGAAAGGAGGGCTTGGATTATATAGTCCAAAGTCCACAGTGCAGCTCCAAATGTAGGGGAGATTCCAGCACCTCCACAAGCAACTAGCAGTCGGGGGTTGAGATAGGAAATAAGCATATGTATGGCTTGGGACCGGGTGAAAATCGTTGAAATTTGCCTACCCGAATTCGTCTCGGAGAAATATACATCTTTTTGCAGATCAGCTGCTGCTTGTATGTCAGGCTTGAAGTGATTCATATAGTCGACAATTGATGAATGACTCATTAAAGAACGAAGGTCGGGTTTCCCACCACATGCGAATTGAGGATATGAGTGCACTCCTGTTTTCGAGACAGCGCACGAGAATTAGGATAGGTCAGTAGGCAGTCAACTTCATGATTATGGTGCACCACCCGACGCAAACGTTTAAACATCTTTTAAAGCAAATCTGCATAGACCAAATCGGGTCGTATTGATCATAAGGAGAAAAAAAGTAACTCAACCAAAGCTTTTAACATAGACCGCCGACGTTTGTTCCGCCTTGGCAAGATCAGCTATGCGGAATTTTTGCAGATAATTCCCAGCTTGAATGATAGAGTTTCTTCCCACAGCTGTGGCAATATCCTTCTACCATTGAACTTGAGACGCGGCGTCCGCAGTAAAATCCCAGGGTTTCCCTTCAGCAATAGGCGCAGTGTTTGGCCAATCTGAATATATTTCAAAGGGTCAGGGAAAGGTGGACAATGGAAGATGAAATACGATTCAGCGCAGGAGTGCTCTTACACTCTGGTTCATTTCCAAGTTCCAGGGCGTGAATATTCTTGATTTGTTTCACAGCCTCCTGAGCCGCTAGCAGTGAGTTTGGAAGGTTATTGGCTTTACAATTGAGACCGAGAGTGACAGGACCGGGCAAAGTAGATGCAAGACGAATGAATTCGGGCCCATAGGTGAGTGTTTTGGGTACTCCCTTATCGGCTGCTGAGAGGGTGTAATGGATTGCTTCTTTTAGATTTGGATCATAGGCTCCAAAATCTCTGATCAAAGGAAAGAGTATAAGATTTTTGTCAGTTCACAAGTAAGTCAAAACCCGAGGGCAATGTGCTTTAACACTGGCAGAAAATATACAAACCCAGTTGTGCCACCAATTCTGACAGGTATTTGTGTTCCAATTGCATCTGCTAGATTTCGTATACACCCCGCTGTGTTGGGGACAGTTGTCATGTAGTCGGGAAATGCAAAGAACTCAAGCCTTTTTGATAAACCACGTCATCAATCAGTAAACGGGCTCCATTTGATTTGAAGTCATTGTAACGTACGAGATTGCAATGGGCCCTATGTTGGTGAAGTTCACCGGGACTGATCGAGTAGGAGCAGAGGCTTTGAAATTGATTTCTTCATCACTTTGGGCCAATGCACAAGTGCGGTATGCTACAAGGAGGGATATTGAACGTAGAATGGTATTTATGAACATCGATGTGATCGTATTTTGAAGAGATGCCAAGGAGTGATAGCGAATTTGGCTGCCAGCTCAATTATTTTGTGAATCAATTTTGAAAGCGAATGGAGAAAGGCTCTTGTAATATGGGAGGCAAATATCATATGGACCTAAGCAAAGTCCCACGCTTGCCTCGGGAGGCTGACTTCGCTGCGAGGCCGAGCGTCGGTGAGACTTTGCTAAGTGAGGCAGGGAAGAGTGGACGTGTGGGAAAGGGATGAGAATTACCGAAATGAAATTCTCAGTCTTTGCATTTCCACAAATATGGTGTGCAATACGGTGGCTCTAAAGTGCCACTTGAGTCACATCGTCAAAAACCATAAAATTGATGTTTCCGACCGCAAAAAAGCCCTGCTGAACATATGCCCGCGATGGCCAACTTGCCAGGCCAGGCCAGGCCGTATTCTTGGAGACTTGCCGACCTAATCATCAACAACTTGGGCCATGAAGAATTTGATAATTATGCAATCAACCCAATAATCAAGAGTGATCATACCTTATAAAGCTCAAACCAAGTATACATTAACTTCCAATTTCAATTGCAAGGGTTGAAGCAAAAGGAGAAAATTGAATGATTGGATTCTATTCTGAGACTGTTGCCAAAAAAAGTTGTTTCTTGTGCTCTTCTCGTAATGACTCTTTGTCTTTGTTGACCTCGTATGGACCTCATCTTGTTATTCTCACACCTAGCATATAACTTACTCAAGAGTTGGTGATTGAGATGTACTCTGCTAGAGGTTCCAATATAAATTAGACAATCATAACATGGTCAACTTGACATCCAAGTTTTTGATAAGAGCAGTTCCACACATGGACACTTTGTTTTTGTCTTTTCTTCCTATCTCGACTCTCTAACCAAGCACTATCACCAAAAGCCCACGACATCAGAATCCACTCACTCCATGATCATGGGATTGAGACTGCCGCCGGTTCAGACATGGCCCAGGGTCAGCACTTGTTGCGTGGGGCTTTTTTGCAGTCAAAAACATCAATTTTATGGTTTTTGACAATGTGACTCAAGTGGCACTTTAGAGCCACCGTAATTCAAACCTGTGCAAGAAATTTGCAAGACCAACGTGCAAGATCCATGCAAGAAATCTGGCACGGATCTTGCTTAATTAATTTTTTCACAACCCCGCTTGAAAAAACTGCACAAGCTGAATCATTTGGCCTCAAAGCGGGGAAGCCTAGGTTAACATACATAAGTCTTAAGTCTGCAAGTTCTGTGAAAGTTCTATGCAAGATGTTAGAGCATCCACAGGGGTGGGCTCCAAATCAGGGCTCCAAATGGAGTGAATTCAAATTTGGTGGGGCCCCAAATCAATCTGGATGCAGACGTTTGGGCTTCAAAAGTGTACAGTCTATGTGTTTACACTCACTTTGAGATTGGTGTGCGTGGGCTTACATGTGTGAGGTATGGGATTGAGCAAGTGCGGGAATTTGGAGCCCAGCTTTTTGTTGCCAAATTTGTAGCCCAAAGCTCAAAATTTGAAGCCGGCTACAGAAATATTTGGCGATGGGGACCACCATTGCACCATAACATCAGGGCTCAGTCACCAAATTTGGAGATAGCCCCAATTTGGAGCCCACCACTGTAGATGCTGTTAAAAGAACTTGCACAGAACTCTCACAAAAATTGCAAATTTCTTGCACAGGTTTGAACACCATGAATGTTGCGTACAGGAAAATGGTAGCCTTGATAAGAGCATATTTTCCTTGAGATGCCCCAACGCAATCTCTCATGTGTATCATGGAAAACAGTGGTACCGTTGTGCCTTTGGGTACCACCAGCCAATAAACAAAACACACTAAGAGCATCTCCTATCATCTTGGTAAATGGCTTTGGTACAGTACATTTTACCATACCAAGGGTCAAAATCCCCCATTGTGTCAAAAACACACATCTCACAGTGTCATTTTACTAGTCACTGGCAGGCCACTGAGTTCCATTCACCTCAATACAATCTCAATTCAATGTCAGTTCAATATCAGTTTGACCTCCAATTATGTTTTAGTGGGGGATATGCATGGGCTCCATAATCACTCAAACCTTCCAGACATTCTGACACCTTCATGTGTGGACATGCAACCAAACTTTATTCCAGTTCATTCTGGGAGGTTGTTTGTCTGCTACTCTAGGCCAAACATTGAGATTGGATTGATATTGAACTGACATAGATTTGAAATTGGATTGATATTGGATTGAGGTGGACGTACTCACTGGCCTGCCAGCAAGTAGTAAAATGACACTGTGTCTGTACCTACAGAATCGGTCAAAATTCTGTAGGGGTCCAGCAGATTTACTGGACTTCTACTGATTCTGCAGAGGTCGGTATCTGCAAATCTGCTCAAATTCTCCCCTCTCACAGTGTCATGGGTGGAGACACTCTCAGGTTTCAGAATTCAAGGGGTCATTGGATGTCAACTCTTGGACAGATCTTGTCCAAGGATTTTATTTGAGGTATCTTTTGGTGTGAAAAAATACCATGGTTCAAAACCTTGGAAAGATTCTGTCCAAGGATTTGAGTCTGATGATACCTCATATTTTTTGATGGAAGGTAATTTTTTGGCTTTGTGGTCTACCAATAAACAACCTCCTTTCCAGTTCTTTGTTTGGCCTCTGCAATGTAAGTTTTAATGTGATCTTGTGCTTCATGTTTTAATTCCAAGAGGTAAGTTCCCATGAACATGTCAAGTAGGTATCCTGGATTTCAAGTGAGTAGTCACATTTGGAAACTGTCTTGACTCGAAATGGACCACAGAAATCAGTAACACCAAATTGCAATGGTTCATCCTAAGAAATCAGGGATAGGCCAATGGAGGAAGATTTTGTTGATTTTTAGATAGCACAATCTTTTCAAGGAGTGGCTCTTGTCAGTTTATCCAAAAGTACTACACAAGAACCATTGCAGATGAGTTTCAACAAAGCTTGGTCATTAGGATGATCCAGACGCCTATGCCATAGCATAAATTCCCCAAGTATAGTGGCCGTAGTTATATCAAGTTGAATCCAAGATAGCAAGCTATGACGTAAACTCTCACAATTAGGGGATACAAAGTAGAATCCGGGCACATGCCCGGGCGCGTGCCAGGATTTTCCTTGGCAGTAAATTTTGATTTTCTGGGCACAAGTCCGGGCCCAGAATTCAAATTTACTGCCAAAAAAATCTGGGCACGTGCCCGGATTCTACTTTGTATCCCCTAAATGATAGATGTTCTGGATGTCTAGAAATTCCAAGGAACTTGCAAGATTGCATATACAAACGTTACCAACAGCAGAAATAAAAGACAACACAGAATGGTTGGCCATTTTAACTGGAGAGAAGAGACTTGTAGTAAGATTAAGATATGACCATTCCATGAGATTGCAATAGCTTTCATAAGGGTCTTGACATCCTTGTGTATCAGCCAGGAGATAAGCTACCTTACTAACTTATTCCCTGGCTGACAAGTAGTGAGGTGAATTACAAGCTGACAGTGGCTGCAAATCATGAGAGGAAATGCGGTGATGAACCTGATGAAACCCTGTTGTTTTTATGAGACTTTCATGGATTTCTTCAAAATTTCCATCTCACAGTGTAAGGTACCCAGAGATGCTGGATCATAGATCTTTACAACCTGGTAATTACAGAGTTCAAGCAAGGAAACATGAGAGCTACCAGCATTTCAGTCATACTTTTTGATGATTTTGTCAATGGCTTTAAAATAATCATTATTAGATTTGGCTTCTGCTATCATAAAATTTGGAAAAGAAGCTTCAGCAGAATTTTTATTGAAGAGATCTGAAGTATAACTCTAAGCAATGAATTTGGAGTCTCTAGTTTTTCAAGACTAACTTATGAGGGAACTTTAATGCAGAAATAAACAAAAAATGGGAATAATTCTGTTCAGAGATGGGACAAAAAGATTTCAACTTGGGAAACTAGGGAGTTCTCTTTTGTGTGTTCCGGTACCTAGACATCTAGTATATATGCTTGTGGGATACGGAATCCTCAACTGCAAGGAATGGACACCAAGCTTTGGGGCCCGCGTACTTTCACTACCCAAAAGCCTTTCCTACGCATTCCCATGTATCAATGCACATACCAACTCTCAGGAATAATCGCAGAGGGTCTAGAACTGTCACAATGTTAAAAGGCCTCAAATGTGCTCAATACGGCCATATTCAAAAAGTGTTCTGTCTTCATCTTTGTACATTTTCCATGTTGAATTCTAGTCCTGGAGCCATGTTGACTTCAAGATGAGGGTCGCAGGAGTTGAACAACTGCATATCATCCACTACCCATCTGGAACATATGTCCAAGGAATAAGGTTATAAATGGAACCATTGAGAGCCCTTATGCTCTTACAGCTTCTCTATCAGTCAAAGAACACAGAGACAAAAAACACTGATAAAAGATAAGTCAGAGGTCGTGTCAACGCTGAGACAGCTACGCTACAACACGCTACCATGCATTTTGTATGTAGCGTAACTGTATGCAGTTAACACAGATCTGACCTTTATGATAGTGTAACTTGTCAAGTTACACTACACTACGAGCTACTGTAGCTGAGTTTTGTGCCTCTACACTACGCTACAGGGCCAAAATTTGGTTAGCTGGAGATTTTCTGGGACTCTGCGTAGGGTAGCTGGGATTCATTCATGCTAATTCCTGCTAGCTGTAGCTTTGCGGCATGTTTCTAGCTACGCTATCTTGCGCTATCAGCTACGGGTAGATTAGCTGTCTCAGTGTTGGTCGTGTCATGCTTTTTCATTTTGCTTCTATTGCTTGAAAGATACTTGTGTTCTTTCGAAGGAAAATGCGTAGATAAATAGCATTGTTTATGATTATTACATATATATTTGATGATTAAAATGTTGACTTTCACAAAAGTCGATATATGCGTGTTGAAGATTTATTGATCGTTGGATGAGGTTTTTTACGATAAACCATTATTAAGCTGAACAATAACAGCCTCGGAATCCATTACTGCAATTCTAAAAGTGTTCTCTTGTAAAAGTACTATTTCAGTCGTGCGAGGAGCTTGAATCTTTGCACAATTTTTGGCCGAAAATTGAAGTCCACCAATGTTCGGTGTCTGATCACCTCGATCTGATCGTGATTCAGCACTGGAAGCTTGTAATCTCAATACCGGAAATGAGGCACTAGAAAGATTGAAACCCGATAGATCTACATTTATGGTGACTCTAGAGTTTGAGCCTTCTGGGCGGTATCGCGAGTTGTAGAGCAAAATTCTTATCGGTTTTGATTTTTGAGTGAGGAGATAGGCACCATAAGGACTCGTGCCATCATCAAGCTGAAAGATTCCGTCGATTCCACGCAAAGCTAGAGCAGCGAAGTAAGCACCGTAATAAGGTGCCCCAATCGCATATCTTCCCCAAAATGAGTATTGACCTGAATTCGGTTTTCATCAGGATTTAGAAGATACTATTAGTATTGGTACATTGGGTGTTGTATAATTGGATTACTCACTGTTTCCAAGTGTTCCGTGATGGAAATAAAGAGATGAAATCCCCGAAAGGAGAGCTTGGATTATATAGTCCAAAGTCCAAAGCGCAGCACCAAATGTAGGCGAGATCCCAGCACCACCACAAGCAACTAGTAATTGAGGGTTGCGAGGATCAGAAAAAATATAAACTTGAGATCACCTCAGATGAAGCTTTTTAAAGTCACCTACCTGAATTTGTCTCGGAGAAATAAGCATCTTTTTTCAAATCGATTGCTGCCTGTATCTCAGGATTGAAGCGATTCACATAGCTGACGATTGAAGAATGACTCATTAGAGAATGAAGGTTGGGTTTTCCACCACATGCATACTGAGGATATGAATGTATGCCTATTTTTCCGAACCAGAACAAAAGATCGATTGGTGGTAAGTACATTAATATCCAGACCGATGGGAACGGTGATATCGCTGACTTGGACAAGCTCAATCCCGGTGAGATTCAGAAGGAAAGAAGTAGTCACTCAACCAAAGCTTTTAACGTAAACTGCTGAGGCATGTTCAGCCTTAGCCAGATCTGCTATACGGAAACCACCCAGATAATTTCCAGCTTGAATGATAGAGTTGCGTCCCACAGCTGTAGATATTTCCTTCTGCCATTTGAGTTGGGAAGCGAGTTCCGCGGCAAAATTCCAGGGTTTTTCTTCAGCAATAGGTGTGGACTTTGACCAATCTATGTAGGTTTTGGAGGAATTGGTTGATAGAAGGTAAGCGACAATAGTAATTCTTTAGTGCACACAAAGGCCTTACAATTGGGTTCGTTTCCAGGCTCTATGGCGTGAATATTCTTGATTTGTTTCACAGCCTCCTTGGCCGCTAGCAGTGAGTTTGATAGGTTATTGGCTTTACGATTGAGACCGAGAGTGACAGGACCGGGCAAAGTGGATGCGAGACGAATGAATTCGGGCCCATAGGTGAGTGTTTTGGGCACTCCCTTATCGGCTGCTGAAAGGGTGTAATGGATTGCTTCTTTTAGATTCGGATCATAGGTTCCATAATCTCTGATCAAAGGAAAGGGTATGAGATTTTTGTCAGTTCACAAGTAAGTCAAAACCCGAGGGCAATGTGCTTTAACACTGGCAGAAAATATACAAACCCAGTTGTGCCACCAATTCTGACAGGTATTTGTGTTCCGATTGCTTCTGCTAGATTTTGTATACACCCCGCTGTGTTGGGGACATTTGTCATGTAGTCGGGAAATGCAAAGAACTCGAGCCTTTTTGATAAACCACGTCATAAATCAGTAAACGGGCTCCATTTGCTTTGAAGTCATTGGAACGTACGAGATTGCAATGGGCCCTATGTTGGCGAAGTTGACCGGGACTGATCGAGTAGGAGCAGAGGCTTTGAAATTGATTTCTTCATCACTCTGGGCCAATGCACAAGTGTGGTATGTTACAAGGAGGGATATTGAACGTAGAATGGTATTTATGAACATCGATGTGATCGTATTTTGAAGAGATGCCAAGGAGTGATAGCGAATTTGGCTGCCAGTTCAATTATTTTGTGAATCAATTTTGAAAGCGAATGGAGAAAGGCTCTTGTATTATGGGAGGCAAAAGTTTCATAGATATCATATGGACCTAAGCAAAGTCCACGCTCGCCTCGGGAGGCTGAGTTCGCTGCGGACCCAGCCTCTGTCCACCTCCGGCATGGTGTCTTGACGACACTATGTATGCACTTGAGTGTAGGCGTAGTCTCAATTAAAAAGAGCTTGCCCAAATGAATCTTCCGAGGCTGTCGAGGGCTGTTGCCATTCTTCTAAATCTTCGCCCCCTGCCTCGGAGTTTAGAGTGATATGCAGTGCACCTACACCAGGGGGCAACGCCCGAACCAATCCGACACAAAAGTCGGTATCGTATTGGTATCGTGTCGCCAATCCGACATCAAAAGTCGGATTTCTCCATATCGCTTCACCCGACCCGACATGAGAAGTCCCCTTTTCTCATATCGGGTATCGGCGACGCGATACAGGATGGAGGCGATTTGGCTTTTTCCTACTTGAAAAGCCTTGCAACCAATTTTTAAGTACGGTATCGGCTCGTATCGCTTCAGCGACACGATATGGCCGACCGAATTTTTGGATTTTTTTTTGTCCTCATATCGTATCGGGTATTGGTCTGAATATATGGGTTGGCCGATACGACATGGAAACCCTCCGAAAAGTCGTATCGTGTCGGATTGGTTCGGGCGTTGCAGGGGGTAATGGTCCTCGGCCTCGGCCGGTTCCTGTGACGATTTCAAAGGTTTCGTCACCAGAACCACCCAGGAAGGTGTGGAACCGGTTTCGCCGAAACCGTTTTGGACACCGTTCCACCACCGCTTCTGGAACGAGCTGCATGTCAGCAACCGTTTGAGAACGGCTGCTGAGGCGGTGGTGAAGCGGTTTGTTCGACACCGATTGCAATCGGTGTCGAACATACATAGTCTTCTTCTTTTCTTCTGATTACTTTTGGTTATTCTATTTCTGATAATCCTACCTCCTTACATACTTTTCGAACACCTATCAAATCGAAATGGTTAATGGACTCAACCAATGTCCTTCTCATCTTCTACACCCATCTTTTTGAGAAGCATGGAACCTATCACTCGTCCTTTGATCCTCTTGAAGTCTCATTCTACCTTTAACTGCTCTGACAACTCTAGAGAAAAGAAGACCCAATGTAAATTTGATCAACTCACTTGCGCTTTCAAAAAGGTTTTGGTGAGCTTTAGACCATGTGAGCATCGTCTAAACGGAACTGGATTATTGTATCCTAAACCGAATGAAGATGGTACCCAAGATCTTCAGATATCTAACTTGAACTAAAACAACTCGAGAAGGTTTTGAATTGTTTGATGTTACAAGATCCAAGGATTTGTTGACAACACGACTTGTATCTGAAATACAACGGTTTCTCCCAATTCGCTTATCATAACGGAAGATAGCTTGGAGTTTCTTTTGTCAATTCCTCGTCCTCATCCTCATGGTGTCATGTCAGTTTGGCGAGTTGTTATGAATTGCATTCCCATCTGTGAACAATATGTCCATTATGGTGTAGAGGCAAAAGACTCGGGTGTTGCCCTTGCTTGTTTTTGAGCTTGTGTTCAAGTCTCGCTGCCTGATCCCCTTTTTGCAAACTCTACACCGTACCTCAGAATGTCCCAGGGACCGTGTTCAGGGGTCACCAAGGCGGTTTGCTTGCACCGCCAAAAATGGTGATGGGAACGCGCATTTGTGCGGTCCCATCGAAATCGTCTCAGAAACG